TTAAATGATGATGAAGGTTTTTAAAATCTATAAAGATTTGACGAAGAATATTTATTGGATGATAGATGTCAGTTTTTTAAAATTACATTGGTTAGAAGAATTAGTCATCAAAGAATTGCTGGACTTCTTTCATTCATTCCTCTCCTTCCAGTAATCATTTAATTCATAGAAAAATATTATCAAGTTTTCTGAGCAAATATCTCATTATATTTTTTATAAATCATTTACTACAGAATAATCATTAGAATTTTTAACTTACTGTACAGTTATAAGCAATATGTAACATAGGATTTGAATCTATTATTAATATAATCCTCTTCGATTGTTTATTATCATGAATAGATACTTATAAGTACTAGTCGAAAGATTTTCTTATAAGAAATTTTATTCGTAATAAACTAAATCGTATTAAAATCTCAGTTCAATCTGATTAAATTAGACAAATGACTATTTGAACTAAATAGAAAGTCTTTCGTAAATATAATGTATTCTGTTAAGTTTATAGATTTTGCTAATCAAAAAATGTTATCAATTTTATTCTTCTCCCTTTTCTTGTTCTCATCTGTCAATTGTCGTATTCATAATCTTGCAATCGTTGTAAGTAAATCAAATAATCTTCAAATAATGTATTTATATATGTATTCAATAGGATGATAATCGCCAACAAATTCTTTTAAGTACATTTGGTTTTCTTCGTGATGGTACAATGAATATAAATATTACAGATTTTACTTACGATAAAATCGCTGTTGGAAAAGATTCTATAGTTAGTAAAAGAAAAGAAATATGAAAATTTGATTTATTTATATTTCTTTAGTTTGGATTTAGCATTGATAAAGCCAAAACTAGTGGTATTGCTAATTATTTAGTAAAAATAAAATTTTATCGTCAGACTTTTCTTTTAATATAAATCTTCTTTTTTTAGCAAACTCGTAAAAGTCAAACATGTGGATTTAATCAAAATGATCCAGTCACTGATATTCCACATGTTTATTTTATAATTGATCATAAATCAGAAAAACCTAAGTAAATAAATAAATTATTTTATTACTAAACAAAACATACTTTTTTCTAGAATTATGATTGAACGATATACATCTGATTTTGAATATCTCGATATTCAATATGAAACACATAGTAAGCATAGTAAAAAAACAAGTATTGTTAATTTATTCCATAAAAAAAACTATTTAGATCAAGCATTAGCATCAAATATTACGATGGTAACGAAAAATAATGACTCACTTGTAAAACAAATTCCAATAGAACGAATAAATGGAGCAACAAATCGATTTCGTTTTCAAGTAGAAAATTATGATTGATTTTAATTAATTCTTTACTTTTTTCTATATAGTTCCAAATTACAATCAAAAGAAAACCTGAAGAAGGTTTATATAATTTATATTTTCATAATTGTTTCAATAAAACAGATGTATCATTAAATCAAAAATCATTATATATTAATTTAAGTGTAAATGAAATTTTTCTATTTTTAATATATTTATTATGTTCTTTTATTTAGGCAATATTGATAGAAAAAAATCTTGATAATTATTTATCAGCTGGGGAAATACCATTACCTGTACTTTATTTTACTTGGGCTGTTATTTATTTTCTTTCGGGATTTTATTGGATATTTGTTTTAAAAGTAGCAAAGTAAGAAATATTACAAGACTTATGGATTTCTTTCGAGGATAAAAAACAACGAATCTTAGGACTTTTTAGTGAAGATATGAGTTAATATCTTCTCTTTTTATTTTAGACATCCAGTTTACAAAATTCATTATCTAATGTTATTCCTCGTGCTTACGAAAGCTTTTTCATTGATTTTTCATGGAGTATGTTTTAATACTGATATAAAAAGATTTTTTTTAATATTATTATAGGTTAATCATCATTATATAGCAACTAAAGGTCGACATGAAGAAGCATGGGCTATTCTTTTCTATATAACTCATGTGTAAGTTAAAAAATGCTAATCATGAGGTTATTGTTATTTCCGGAAAACAATTCTTTGTGATATAAGATTTTAAAACTAAACTACTTCCATTCATTTCTACACATATTCGATTAATTTTCTATATCTTTAGTTTACGTGGTCTTCTTTTAATTGTTGCTATATTACTTGTTGGTACTGGCTTTACATTTATTAAACACGTTATTTCAGGACGTGAAAGAAAATTATTTATTATTGCAATTCCACTTCAAGTATATAGATATATGTACATTCTTTTGAATCATTCATTTTTGTTTTTCTTTTTAATAAAAGATTTTAGCAGTTGTGGCTCAAATATTTTTAGAAGAAAAAGAAGAAAGTGATGTTGTTTATGTAACATGGAGACAAGTATGGTTTATCGTTGATCTTTTATGTTGTGGTGCAATTATATTTCCAATTGTTTGGTAAGATTTTTAATATACTAAATAAATTTCATTCCTTCTTCTTCTTAGGTCAATCAGACATCTAGAACAATCAGCTAAAACCGATGGAAAAGCATTGAGTAGTTTAAGTAAATTAAAAATCTTTCGACAATTCTATTTTATGGTTCGTTTTTTATATCTTTATTTTTCCTAAACAATAATTTATTTATTTAGATTGTTTTTTATATTTATTTAACACGAATTGTTGTTTATATTGTCAAATTAACTGTTCCATTTCGTTTTGAATGGCTTGAAGTTGTTTGTTTTGAATTAACAACATTTATATTTTTTACATTTACTGCATATAAATTTCAACCAGCTATTAATAATCCATATTTAGCATTAGCACAAGAATCGGATGAAGATGAAGCTGAAATGGATATACCATTAACACAAAATGCTGTCTTTGATCAAATTACAAAAGTTAATCAAAAGCCCAAACGATTCTTAACAAAATTATCTACAAAAGATCCCAATGATATTATAACACCCGATGAAGATGATGAAGATGGTTATCATCATATTCATATGAGTACCTCACATGTCTGAGTCTCATCTTATTCTTCTGTACTTTTACACTTAAACTTAACATTTCTTTTCTTGTATTTTGTGTTTTAAAATTCAAAAAAGAAAAGATATTTCCTATACTCATCAGTAATACTATTTCTAAATTATTGAATCTACAAGTCAACAATGAAATGAAAGAATAATACGCCTTGATCTAGATATATTTTATTGTTTAGAATAGATATCATAAAAAAAGAAGAAGTAAGACTAAAAATGAAGGTTCATCCATCGTGTTGATGCATGTTTAACTTTTGTTTGTTTAAGACAAATAGGATTTGGTACGAAAGTTCCTGGTGCAATTGGATTTGGACTTCCTCTTATATAATCAATTCGTTCACCACTTGGTCGAGATATACTAGATGGATAACATTCACTTTGGGCATAAGTTTCAAAAAGAAATTCTCCATTACGCCATTGATTACATTTATGAGTTGGTCCAAATGGTGATGTACATTGAATATCAGCAGCAACAAAATCTTCACTTTGATTATATTTATTACCAAAACACCAATCATTCCAATAATCTAAACCATAAAGATCACAAGTACCATTATTACGATTATAATAATATTGATAACCTGATGTAAAATTCATCCACATATCAAATACACCATCATATGTTGAATTACCACGACCACCATTAACAGATACCATAACACGCATTTGTTGAACTGTTTTATCATAAAATATCATACCTTCCGATCGATAATCAATAGCAGGAATAACATGAAAAAATCCATTTGTATAACTTTCAGGTGCACAACAATCATGTGGATCTTCATTATGTTCTTGTTTAATATTTTCGACTACTTCTTCAGTTTTTATCATATTTAATGATGATTGTGTTAATTTAATATCTGAACATTGATGAAAAACAGTTCCATGATCATCTTCTTCAGGATTATTTGATAAATAACGAACACGTAAAACACATTCATCACATGCTTCACTTGGTAAATTAATATCAATGGAAAAATTTGTTTGTGTTATTTGATTCATTGCATTATAATCAGAAAATGAATGAAGTACACGAAAATCATTTTCCGATGGATTAAGACCATTAGCAAATGAAATATCAAGTGCACCTGGTTTAACTGTATAATAATGATTAAGATTTTGTTGAAATTCAACTTTATATTTGCTACCAGCAACTAATGATGTTCGTGGCGATGATGATGTTGAATTAATATTACCACATGGTCCTATTTTACGATAACATGGATGAGCGCCTGGTGCTGAAATATCGAATGTACTACGTTGCATCGGTGCCCAAAGACATATATGCATATACACACCATTGCCAATAATTGAAAGTATAAAAAGCGAAAAGACAAGATGATACATCTTTGTTGATGTCTTTAATTTAATAATAAATAAAATGATAAGATTGCAGTTACTTTTTGAGTAGTGGAAAATGCTTTATCATTAACTAAAGAAAAGATATATTGTCACCTTGATAAACACTTTTCTTTTATTTAATGATGAATACAAATGATAAGAATTTATGGTAACAAAAAGAAAATATATGTATGTCATGCACCTATTACAAAAAAAACGATAATACATGTTGATAAATAATAGATCATTGTTCTTTTTTTAACCTTTATATTTTGTACAATACACAGAAAAAAAAGAAAAGACAAAATTCTTATTTATTTGTTAAAATTCCATTATTTGTTTTTGTTGTTTGTTGTGTTGTTGATAATTGTTGATCAGCAATTAATAAATCAATATAATTTTTTAAACGTTTACCACGTTGTTTCGTCCATAATCTCCAATCATTCATAGCAAGAATTTGTACAACATTTTGTATTGCACTTGATAATGTAAATACAACTGTAAACATCGATATATCATGGGATAAATATGAATTAAGATCAAATAAATTATTTTGTTGTTCAATACTCATTAATGAACAATGTATAACTGGATATTGTGAATTCGATGATAAACACATAGCTAAACCATTATTTATATTACCAAGTGTAATAAATACTGTTGGACGACAATGTTCATAAGAATAATTTGATAGAAATTTTAATATTGTTTTAGTTGATTTATAAATTGAACAAAGACGTACATCACATTGAATATTATAGACTTCATTAAGAGTTATTTTTATCTTTTGTCCATGTTCAACATCAGGAGTTGATGAGCAAACTATAATACAACGACTTGTTGTTAATGGTATAAATGATGATTTATAGATATTTAATGATAGTATACTTTGATTTATATCAATATGATCATCTTCAGGTATAATACGATTTATTGAGGTATTTTCATCATCTTCATTTTCTGTATCATCTATAGTGGATTTTTGTTTTTGATGAAGAAAACTTCGACGTCGTGGACTTATTTTATTTGTTATATAAGCATTATTATTTAGATCAAGTATATCTCTTAATGCATTATTTATCCATGAAAGATTTTCTTGAATTAATTCAATTCCTGTTGATGTTGTTTTTTCCATAGGTCGTAAAATATGCCATGTTTCAATATCAAATGCATTAGCAACAACAATTTCTTTTGGCATAGCTGTTGTTATACCAAATTCTATTTTTAAATCAATTAATTGACAATTTTTTTTAACCATCCATATATGTTCAAGTATATCAAATATTGTACAACATGTTTCATACATATATTCAATTTCTGTTTGAGTTATTTTTAAATTTTCAATATCTAAATTTGCATTAAGAAGTTGTTCATATGACCATATTGATGAAAAACATTCATCGGAATCGGAATCATCATCATCTAATAAACTTTCACGTGATGATTCAAGATGTTCATCAATACTTCCTGTTGTTGCTGAACGTCGATAAGTTAACGGATGAAGTTTATGATAAATTTCAACAATGGGTGGTACAAATCGATGTCCATTCATAATACCATCATTACGTTTCGTATATGTTTCATTAGCTAAACGACGAATAATCCATAAGATTGGTATCATTGTACATTTTCTTGCAATAAACATATCTGGTTGTGGATGTGACGCAACAAAAAATGTTGGTATTGATGTTTCACGTAAAATTTCATAGACACATGTTGTTATTGATGTTGTTAATGCACCTTTACCAGGAATTTCAATATATAAACTTGGATTCGGCGGAATAGTTTGTAATTGTTGTTGAGTAAAACGAAATATACTATCGATACTTGATCGACGTGTACCAGGTATACTTAAGATTTTATTTGATGGTCGATGATTATCTTTTCGATAAATACAAATCAGACCAGGTTGATCAATCATTGAATAGATTCGTTTCGTTTTACCATCAAATAATTTTTGACCAAGAATATCATGCGTAGATGATGCCATTTTGTTTCAAAATCTTATATGATATGCTTGATTATTTATTTCTTTAGGAATAGACACATATATTTGTTGATCTGATCAATTGCTTAATAATTATTTTCAGATGATCGACATCCCATTTTTTTTTTACATCGTTAAGGTCTGTCTGTTGTTCGCTGAGATGCATCGTTTATTATAATAAGAACCGCTTAATAATGATGATAATAATAAACAAACAGCTGTCAGTAAAGATCCATGCAGATATTTTGCTCTATTCCCTCTCTCTTTCCACTTACTTTATCGACCTTCATCTTAGTTGTCATCGACGCGTCTTTAGATAGTTGTTTAATTTATCTCGATGTCAATCTTCTAGTTTTCATTCCATACAAAATAAATATCTATCTTTAATAAGATATATTGACGAAGAAAAAAACATTTTTATATATTTAAAATATACGTGTGATTTTCTTTAAAAAAAAATAGTCATCTATAGTTATAAGCCATACACATGTCGTCACAGACATCAATGACATAATCAGAACTAATGACAAGGACTTTCTTTTTCCTTGTATGATACTTGCCGACTGATAAAGACCATATGAGTATTCCAATAATATATTGTGTTAACAAAGAATAATGTACAAATATTAGTAGAAAATTTCTTTTTGTCAATAATGAAAACAATCAGAATAATACTATTTATTAATGTTTATATGTATGTATAACACATGTCTTTCTTGAGGATTAAATAATTTATAAAGATTCTGTTTAGAGATTATTTATGGTACTGCTAAATATCAATTATAATGAGATGTATCTCGGTTGGTAGATCTCGTCATCTAGATGTTAATAGATTTAATTAGACATAAAATCATCTATGAGAATCGAATGTATATATTTATAGATGAAAGCAAAACAAAAAAAAGTAAGTAATTCCAATAGTAGAAATAGTTATCAGCTAAAAACCTTCAACATATAGAATAGACTGATGATGTCTACGATAGATAAAGCAAGAAGTATTGTCATTGCTTATCAAGACATAATACCATTGACACCAAAATATATTCATTGAAAGATAATTATAATGCCATGAACTAATAGGTTTTATCCTTGTGTTTACCACATTTTTCCACATGGTGAATATGTCTAATATATAATCCCCAAATAATCTATTTACTATAATTGAAAATCTTCTTTCCATCTTATTCATTTTCATATAAAACAATCTTTTTCTTTTATTAACCTTAAAGAATAAGAAATGATTATTTACATATTTTCTTTTTCAACGAATGTTATTTTTAAAAAAGAACATTCCATAAATATATATGTATATATACACACACATAACAAAGCAAAAATTCTCGACGCTAATGTCTACAATTGACTTCATTAGACAAGCCTTGTTTTCTAAAAGATAAAAAGAATATTATGAAAAAAATTTATAGACAAAAAAAAATACGTACAAGAATAAGTGTTACCATTAATAATGTTGCCTTTGTTTCAACTTTCATATCATGTGGAACTGAATAATAAAAGAATATTAAAAAGAATTCTTTAGAAAATTTAAACATACTTTTAACAGCTACAGCTTGTCCATATTCTGATCTTTCAAGATCAGTTGAAAATGGATACATTCTTCCAATATTTGTTGTTTCATCACTATCAATAATTTCAAATTCAGGTACACGATGTTGAATTTTACTTCTTAAATGACTTTTACGTAATATAACACTTGCTACATGTTCACGTCTATTATCGTATATATCATACCATACTTTCGCAAATGCCACACTATAATGAAAAAAGAAGAGAATAAAAATGTTCAGATTACATTTAATTACTATTTCTATTGTTATCTTTATGTTATCAGAAATAAAATTTAAAATGCCAGTAATGTCCAAATGTCAAAGATTGATTTATTTCTCTTGTTATTTTTTAATCAATTGATATTATTTCGTAAGTAGAAAAGAAGCAAGAAAAAAAAAGAGATAGAAAAAATCCTATCAACAGATTTCATGACAACTATAATTTGTTTTTCAACTATAATTCTAACATTAATATCATCATTAATAGCACAAAATCAATATTTTTATAATTCATCATGGAATCATTCAAATCGACAGAATTATATGGCACCCACATATTTTTATGATGGAGTACCTTTAGAAAAAAAAATTAATCCAACAGCTTCACCTATAGATACTGTTCTTCCAAGGAATAATCATCAATATAAAAATGATTTGTTTACTACGCGAACAACTTATTTCTTTTATCCAATATCAACAACAACAATTTCAACAAATAAACATTACCGTGTTAGACGACGAAATCGAACTCGACTGATAACAGCTGCAACATATCCAACTCCTCAACATTTCGGAATCGTTGTTAATATTTACGAACCAACAGATACAATAAATGGTGATAGTTTTAGTCCATCAACAACACAATATCCATGGTGGCACTCACGACCTACCACAACACAATCATTCTATGAACGATTTCCTAAATTACCTTCAAAAGTGCATAAACCACCACCACCAACTGTTCCAAGAAGTTTTACAGCATCAAAAATATTCACTTATCCAACAACAACTACTACTACTACCACGACTATCACAAGGACGACGACGACCACCACCACCACCACCACCACCACCACTACAACCACATCTTCTCGATCAAGTAATATTTATAAACAATTCTTCTAAAATTAAATATCATTTTAATTTAGCTTCTACGACTTCGTCACCATCCAATTCGTCTCATCCATCATCTTGGTTATATACTGTTCCATCGTTTTCTGAAATTATTGATCAATATCCTCGTTATCCAACAATTATACGTTGGTTCGAAGAACTTTCTCGTCATCCTAATATATCTCGTTTTTTTGCATACGAAATTATTGGTCGTACTCATGAGAATCGTTCATTAATTGTAGCAAAAATTGGTCTTCTACCATTTCGTGCCAATCGTCGTTCAGTATGGCTTGATGGTGGTATACATGCAAGAGAATGGATTTCAACAGCAACTGTACTTTATTCAATAGCTCGATTAATAAATGGTACATTAGCGCGTGATGCTGATGTACGAAAATTAATTGATTCATATGATTTTTATTTTATGCCGGTTGTTAATCCCGATGGTTATGCATATACACATGATGATGTTGATGATATTTATGATACACAAGATCAACAACGAATGTGGAGAAAAAATCGACGACCACATGCTGATTGTCCAGGTGTAGATTTAAATCGAAATTTTCCATTTGCATGGGATAATCGAGGAGCATCAAAATTTCCTTGGTATGTAACTAAGATTTTCTATTAAATTTTTTTTCGTTTTACTATCTTTCATTAAAATTTAGTGAAGAAACATATCGTGGACCATATCCTGAATCTGAACCAGAAGTTCGATCAATAACAACATTTATATTAAAACGTCGACGTTATTTTCATACATTTATAAATTTACATGCATTTGGTAATCTTTGGATGTTACCATTTTCATTTTCAACTCGTATTCGTCCATATGATTATTATCGTAATGAACAATTACTTATACAAATGAATCGTTTAAGTATGAATACATTTAAAATTGGACAATCATCAACAGTACTCTATCCAGCAACAGGTACAAGTGAAGATTGGGCAAAAGCTATAGCACAAATTCCACATACATTCTCAGTTGAACTTCCACCAAGTTCAGATGCATTTGATATGCGTGAAGATGATTTAAATGGTTTTACATATTATGCTGAGAAAGATATTGATAAAGTTGCTGAATCAACTTATAATTTAATTCATTTATATCTTAAACATTTAGCAAAAGTTCAATCTCCATCACGAATAACAATTTAAGAAAAAATTCAATTCTTCGTTTTTTCGCTTCGTTTTTTTCTTTCGATAAAATAAAGTAGTTTTTATTTAAACATACCCTTGTCGTACAGATCCAACCACTAGACTTTCATCTGATACTGTTGTTTTACATTGTACATCTTGTTTACAACATGTTTGACAAAAAAGAGGTAGACGATTATGATAGAATTCCAAAACAATCTAGAAAATGTTTTTAGAATAGAGAAATAAAAAGAGAATTGATATTCTAAATCTACTTGTTTTGTACCAGGTATTGTTAAAATAATTCGATGTGTAAATATTGAATTTAATGTAGATGTATTGGCTTTATCACCAATTTGATAATCAAATAAAGCTTTATTAACTCTTGATACAATTTTTCCACATTCAACTGCTCCAATTTCATTTGCAGTTGCTTAAATAATAATGAAAAAATAAAAGGCATTTTTGATAAAATAATTCTCTTACTCGATTGAAATGGTTTAATAATTAATTCTTCTTCGTTCGAAAGTACAGCCAAGATTTTTGCCATATCATTAATTTCATTACTATTCGCCATTGATTGCAATTCATTCAAAATAATACCAACAAAAAATTGTATTTTGTTCGAATAATATTTGTATTATCTAGAAGATACAAGACAAATGTACTTTACTTATACACTGTTCATGACTACAATATTACAAAAAAAGAAAAAGTAAGGAGAAAGGCATTCGTGCATGACTAAATGTATTCATATAACCATTTACACTTAAAGAACGTGTTATTTCGAAAGGAAGAAAAGAAAAATCATACGTACGAAGTCAGTGACAACATCAAATTGACTAATATTGGTTACACAGTTAGATACAAAGTTCTTTTTATATTCTAAAATAAATATTTATATGTGTATATAGTCATGTTTCTTCCATTATTTTCAAATAACTCAATCATGTGGACGTGCTATTTCATAAAAACGTAAAAGAAATAGTGTTTTGATACCTTGAAAAAACCCCAGTAAACATAATATATCCCATGTTTTAATATCGTTATCATATATACTCAAAAGAATGTCCTTTAGAAACAGATACTTAGATAAGTACACATTCTATCTCTTTTTAGTTGCACGAAATCGAAAAAAATGTGGAATTTATTACCCTATTTACAATGTAAAGAGAAGAAAAAAAAGAAAGGATTACCATGATGTGGAGAGGATTAGAATGAATAAAAAATAATCGTTATATAAAAACAAATAGGAAATTGATAAATCTGTTCCTATTTTTTTCTTCTAGAAATGCATTATCAAAATATTTTTCTAAGGTCAGAAATTGATAAAGTACAATAAAAAATAGGTTTTACTTCCTTTTGGTATGATCTCTTGTAATTAGTACTATAATCGATTAAAAAAAATATGTCCTTTGAAACAAGTTATTAAATAATGTCATCTGTGCATTTGTTTTAATTTATGCTTCTCCTTATATTCATTATTAATTTGAAATATAATGTCAAATAGAATGTAACATTTCCTGTGAAAAAGATTTTAAAATATCAAATTAATTAATCCTAAACATACTGTTTTCTATTTGATTAAATAATAGTAGATAGTGTACGAATCAATATTAATTTTATCGGAAACATTAATTTTACATTACAAAAAAAATGGCGACCATGAAACATAGTTTTATTATTATTATTATGCTCGTACGATATATGTCATTGTATTCAATACCTTTATTGATATGATGAATTACTATTGAATACGAAATATTGCTCGAAAAGATTAAATACAATACTCAGCCAGTGCTTTGAAAAGCATTTCATAGACATTTTAATAGTATATTCTAGTCTTATAATTAACTTTAACCTTCTATTCTAAAAAGTACATATACCAAGGGGGAATAAGCGAGACTTCAGGAGTGTGTACTTCACTAGTACTTCAAAAACATTTTGAAGTAGATGAAGTCTCGCTTTTTCCCCCTTGACATATACAGAAAGTTGTGCTGTAAAATTATAAATGAAATCAGGTGTATCATAATAGAAACCGAATATATTAATAAGGTATAATATACATAATCTGCATATGTTAACAACATTTATATAATGTGGACTATATTTTGCATGTCAAGTAGAAATTAAGATGGAGAAAAGAAGTATGCATGTCGTTGTTTCATATTAAATATATATTTTTCAACAATAATATAAACATGAAAGATAAAATAAAGTATAAATATGATTCATTCTGCCAAGTTTTCATGGTTTGATCACTGTATCTTTTTCATTACTATTCATTATCAACCAACAGTTTTGTACCTGTCATGAATCTATACTTTCTATTTCTACTGATGACAAATGATACGCACAATTTTGTCGTCATGTAAATTAACATATTAGTGCTGGAAAATCATCAGATAGTCCTGTTGAACTTAATCCTGAAAAAAAAACAAATTCATATTTATATTGTCAATAGTTATTCAATATATAATGATATCGATTACACTTCTTGGTAGGTATGCATAAGACAAATTTAGAATTGAATAGTTTTACTGTTTTAGGTAGTTATATATTACCATAGGATGAAGATATTGATCTACGTATTCCCGTTTCAGGCCATTATCGATTGCAATCAATTATATCTGATGAATTCTCTTCAAAACCCTAGTCAATCATACTTATCTTCTATCGATATATTTTATTATGATCTAAATTCAACACATGTTTTATTCTTGATAAACCCAAAAAACTGTCCTATCCACCAAGATGAGGTATTTCCTATCGTATTTTGACTATTAGGATTATTATGGCTATATCGATCTCGACAGTCTATGGCGCATTTTGAATGAGTTTATTACTCTTTTCAATATTCTCATAAATATGAAAAATCGACTATATCTAGCTGAAGTATATTTGTTCATATGTTGAATGGTAATGTGCATCAACTAGATGTATAGAATATCTTAAACTTAATAATCAAACTATTATACATTGTATATGCAGTACGAAATCAATCATATAAAAAATGTTAATTTTTATTTATTTATCGATAAAAAAAATTCGTTTTGTTTATTTTTAAATGTAAATGATTTGGCTAAATCTTAAAAAACAATACTATGAACGTGCTCTTATTTAATATATTTGAACATTGTAGCAGACTGTAATTGCATTAAGGAGGTAAAAAAATATGTTTTTCTTTTATTCGTCTTTTCTCACAATTAGAAAATTTATGACGTACAACAACGACATTTACGAAAAGGGCAGACTATCGAAAAAATTTATTCAATAATTTCAAATAATATTTCTTTTTAATTATTTGAAAATTTTATTTAAATTATAATTTATCTTAGAAGAAGATTATTGTCTTTTTCTTTATTAAATACCTCTTAATCTAAGAACGAGATAGAATATTTCGATGTTATATATAACAAGTTTATTTTATTTTGAATCTGTATTCTTTTCTATTAGTATATAAACTCAATCGTATTTTATCTTGTTCTTTTCTTTTCGTTTAGTTCTTATCGATTTATTATAATCGTTCATGTGGAACGGTGACTCAGCGCGATGTGTATTTGATTATTTTTATTATTCATAATATGTTGTTTTAGAATACTAATAATAATATTGATTATAAACACCAAATTTCGTATAAATTAATATACAACATGCGATTCGATTTCTTATTATTATTTATTCTCTACGCCACATATCCATGTCCATCATATAGTGTATTTTCAAGTAAAATTAAATTTATTATTATTTATATAATTGTCATATTTATTTTTAGTTCAACAAACATTAACTATACTATGTGATCAATTTCCTCTTATTTCTTATGATAATAATACAAATTTACAATGTGCTCGTTTACGTCGAGATGAGAATATTCCAATAGCAACTAATGATCTTGATAGACCTAGTCAAATAATTCTTTTTACTATTATCGATCAACCATCATTACAATCATCTCCTGTTAATATAATTCTAAATTTTAATCAATCATTAGATTTACCATCATCAATTAATGAAATACGTCTTGGTTTATTAGTTACGAATTCGAATTTTATAATAAATAATGCAACTACACAAGTATTTACACCATATAATATACCTATATTTCAATGGCAAGCTTCAGATACAAATACCTATAATCTTACTGATGTACTTCAACTTGAAAATGGTGATTATATAACAGATAAAAGTCTATGTAAATGGAATCTTAATCAATGGAATCGTTTATTCAATGGCAATGCATTTAGTAATATTTCTTATGTTTATTTTTTGAAAACAACAGATTCTCAATTAAGTTTTACACTTATAAATACAAGTAATAAATCATCATCATTATCAATACCATCACCTTATTTGGATATACTTTATTGTGTTCCATATAAATTAGGAACAACAGAAATAGTATTATTGGTTTGTTTTGGTCTTATTTTTATTACTGTTGTTATTATTCTTAGTATTTCACAATATTTAAAAAGTGGCGATGATAATCAAGCTACACGTCGTTTACAAGATTATTATCATCGAAATGGAGAAGATAACTATTTAAGAAAGCAATTCAAAGATATTCGACATCGTGGAAATATATCAGCTTTACCTAGTGAACATGATGATCAAGTTCCTATTGACGGCGAGATATTTGAACATTGATGTATTAAAAATAAATATAAATATTCATGAAATAAAAACTGTTAAACTAAGATAATTATATAATAAATGCTTTGTCAATAAGACATAATACATTATACAAGAAAGTAATAATTTAAAATAAGATAACCAAAGATTTAACGAAAAATAAAAGTATTTTTATTATGATTAGAGGCAAAGAGGATAATTTTGAATATTTGATAAATAAAATATTATCAGTATTGTTTGATATTGTATAATTTATTGATAACATGTTAAAAGTAATCTATTTTGTTTCTAAATTCTACCGACGTTTTATAATAATTTCATTTAAAATACTGATATAATCATATCTTTCGATAAATATAAATTAAACTAAGGAATATATCATAGTTACTGCACAATGTTTTCAACTATTATTTTAAGGTTTGAGATGTTCAATTTTTCAGAACGAAAATATTTTTCTCTCAATTTAATTATATTGTCTAATCTTTCTCTATATAGCTGAGAATATGTTCTCAGTAAACTATGAAATACTTAATAAATTCTATAATACTACTAAGAAATGAAATAAGTCATATTCACTTGATTTTCCCCTTTATATTGTTCGAAGTAATAAGTATAAGTGTTATGAAAGATATGTTTGTTTTCTCTTTTTTGTTGCGTCCTTCGCATACGAGTAGGAAAGTCAAACTTTGTGCTGGTCAGTGTAATTACGAAATTTGTGCTGGTCACTGTAATTACGAAATTTGTGCTGGTCACTGTAATTACGAAATTTGTGCTGGTCACTGTAATTACGAAATTATGATGTAATGTTATATTTATGATCTGAAAAGTATACAAATATCATGTTGTAGACAAAAAGAATCAGTCCGTAATCATAACTTACGGAAGTAGTAGTATCAAGAATACTTTTTTTTTGTAAAAATAATATTATTTCAAACAAATTATTTTTCATTTCTATTCAGATGACATCAACTCAACAAAAAGGTATATCTTCTGAGCGTATTCATGGTTCAACATCCGTTAATGTTGATTACCTTGAATGTTCTATTTGTCGTGATCTACTTTGGAAACCTATTGCTTGTCAAGAATGTGAAACACCGTTCTGTTCAACATGTATGGATCGATGGCTTGATAATGGATCAATAACATGTCCTACTCGTTGTGAAACATATATTGAACGCAAGTGTCCTCCATTTATTACTAAAGTACTCTCATGTTTACAGATTATTTGTTTTTATCAAGCTAATGGTTGTCAAGAAGTAACTATAAAATAATTCAATGATAATCATTATTTTATTTTGTATAGATATTACCATATGAAGCATTAGATAAACATGAGATTGAATGTGGTTATCAATTTACAAAGTGTCCTGGTTGTCAATTGGAAATGTTAGAGAAAGATTTTCTTAATCATAAGGAATCTTATGAATTATTTCCAATGACTTGTGAAGATTGCAAACTTATGTACAAAAGAAATGAAGCGACTACGAAACATACGGAAAATATATGTTTACGAAAACAATTTGAACGATTAAAGCTTGAATATAATGAGAGTAGGCATGCAATTCAGAAATTAGATTTAGAATTAGGTGAAATACGTCGTTTACGTATGTAAAATACTTTTTTTTTGTTTTGAATAGTATTGAAAAGATATAATCATCATTTCAGATTCTTGTTTAAAACAAACTATCACATTTGAAGATTTACCAGAAAGTGCGGTTGAAAATTCATTAAAAATACCAAATGTTTATAAAGGATTTCGATGGACTAAAATCTTTTATATTCATGAATTATTGGCAGCCAAAGAATGTTCAAAGAGTGGATATGTAACATCTTTCTTACCTGGTGATAGTTTAAATGTCGCTTTCTTCAGTGAAACTGCTACAATTAGTATTGAACATCCAAATAAAACATTTACTCTTATTTCAATTATGGCATGTGCTGCTTGGAACGATGACTTGGAGTTAACCATCACAGCATATCGAAAATCAATTGTAGTTAATGATCGTACAGTAATTCTTCTTTTTGGTAGACCTCAACGTATTATGCTTCAATGGGAAAATATAGACAAAGTTATTTTCAAACCATCCGGTGGCACTGAACATCTAGAATGTGAAGGACCAGGAACTCATGTTGTACTAACTCAATTGACAATAGATGATTTTTCTGAACAGAAAAAACGAGTTTATGAATAAGAACATATTTTTGTATTGTTATAATAATCTTGATTATTGAAAAAAACATTAATAGTTGATAACTGTGTAGAAAAATTCAAACTTTATTTTTTAATTTAATATCAGTTTAATAGATTAATCTCAAAATAGCAGAACTATTGACTAGTTGAATTCGAATCGATCCTCTAGATATATTCGTCATCCACTTTTGATTAAAGTTGATCTGCTATGGTATTCTGTTTGTCAGAAATTAATAGAAGAAATTTCTTGTATGCATATTAAATACTGAAAATATCATATTTAATTTTAATTATAATAAAAAAAAACAACAACTATACTTTCAAATCTAAATTTCATGCAAATAGTAATGAGATTTAATGATGTGTTGGAGAAACTTATACTAAACGAAAAAAAGTATGTCTGGTCATATGAACGATTCATTTAATTAAAAATCTATGATAAAATTGGCTTTGAAAAGAAACATAGACAAAACATTGTAAGTTTGTGTTCTCGGAATTTAGTTTCCCCATTTTCTTTTTATTCAAACAACAATTCACGATTCGTATTTGCATAAAATAGACTCGATAGTATTTACCTCACTAAGATTATTTTAATGTATAATTTTTGTAATGGATGAAAATTTTATTTCTCTATAGATTAAACAATCTTTATTTACTATATTACAAAAACTCTAATAGTTTGAAAAATCAAAATTTATAGAGATATTAATCTAATGAAATTTTTTTGTTTCTATATCATATATTCATATTGATATGTTCTATAGAATTATGTTAAATTTTGATTGAATATAACACTGAAAAAAGCAGATTTTACTCTCCATATCTATTTATTCCAAGATTCATTGTAAAACACTTTAATAAATGCATTTTTTCATCATTAAAATACCTTGTCAATGCAAAAAAAAGCTTATAAACTCTCATGGATTCATTTAAAAAAGTCTCTTGTTGACATAATAAACAATCCTACTGTATTTTACATTCATATTCTGCAAGAATATTTCGAACTGACTTCACAAACTTATGATTATTTTAAAATATGAAACAATAGATATACATATATATGTTCTCACGGCAATGATCGTATTTGTTTTATTATTTTTTCAAATTTTCTATATCATCGATTGATGTTTTAACAAAAAAGAAAAACATAGGTGAACTGACAAACACAACGGAAAAAAAGAGAACTAGACAACACGAACAAAAAGTTGATGTCTGTTGTTATTGTTGTTGTTGTTATTATTATAATGATTTGTTTAATCAACTTCTTCCATACGTGAAGCTTCAGCTGAAACGGCAGCTGAATTTTCACCAGCATTCTCAAGTGGTGGCATATCTGAACCAGATTCACCAGCAGCTGCATGATGTTCTTCAATAGCATCTTCTTCATCAATACCTAAACCAAGTTTGATCATACGAAATATACGATCAGCATGTTGTTGTGGTAATTCAAGAGCGAAACCACTAGCTAAAAGTGATGTTTCATATAATAAAGTGACTAAATCCTTAACAGATTTATCATTTTTATCTTGATCAACTTTGGATTTAAGTGTTTTGATGATTGAATGATCAGGATTGATTTCAAGATGTTTCTTAGCAGCCATATAACCCATGGTTGATGTATCACGTAAAGCTTGAGCTTTCATGATACGTTCCATAGTTGCTGACCAACCATATTGTGATGTAACTAGAAAATAGAAAATTCATAAAAATAAAATATAATATTTTATTTATCAAAACTTACCAATACAACATGGTGATGAAACAAGTCGATTACTAATAAGAACTTTTTCAACTTTTTTGTCCAAAATATCTTTCATTACTTTACATAATGGTTCGAATTTTTCTTTATCTTCTTCGCGTCTAAACAGAAGAAAAAAAATATAGATGAATAATGAAAATATTTGATATTATATGATACATACTTTTTCTTTTCATCTTCATCTTCGGGTAATTCTAAACCTTCTTTTGTAACTGAGACAAGTTTTTTTCCGTCGAATTCTTTCAATTGTTGTACACAATATTCATCAATGGGTTCGGTCATATAAATAATTTCAAATCCACGATTACGAACACGTTCAACAAAAGCTGATTGATCAACAACTTGTCGAGATTCACCAGTTATATAATAAATATCTTTTTGATTTTCTTTCATACGTGAGATATAATCTTTGAGTGATGTTAATTCATCGCCTGATGTTGATGAAGTATAACGTAAATATGAAGCAATTTTAGCACGATTGTTTGAATCTTCATGGATGCCAAGTTTAAGATTACGTGAAAATTGTTCGTAAAATTTCTTAAATGATTCTTTATCTTCAGCTATTTCATCAATTAATTCAACACATTTCTTGACTAAATTTTTACGGATAACTTTAAGAATTTTATTTTGTTGTAACATTTCACGTGAAATATTTAATGGTAAATCTTCTGAATCAACAACACCTTTGATGAAATTTAAATATTCAGGCATTAATTCTTCACAATTTTCCATGATAAATACACGACGTACATATAATTTAATTGAATTTTTGGTTTTACGATTTTCAAATAAATCAAATGGTGCACGTTTTGGAATAAATAATAAAGCACGAAATTCAAGTTGACCTTCAACACTGAAATGTTTAACAGCTAAATGATCTTCCCAATCATTGGTTAATTGTTTGTAAAATTCAGCATATTCTTCAGTTGAAATATCTTCTGGATTACGTGTCCAAATTGGTTTTTGTTTATTAAGTTCTTCTTCATCGGTGTATTTTTCTTTGATTTTCTTTTTCTTTTTTTTATCAACATCTTTTTTCTTGTCATCATCTTCATCGTCTTCAACTTCTTCAATTTTAGCTTCATCTTTTTTCGTTTCATCTTCATCTTTCTTTTCACCGTCTTTCTTTTCATCTTCATCAGCTTCATCGTCGGAAATTTCCTTGTCACGTTCTTTTTCAACAAGTAATTTAATTGGATAACCAATAAATTGTGAATGTTTCTTAATAACTTCTTTAACACGTTTTTCTTCAAGATATTCAGTTTGATCTTCTTTAAGATACATAACAATTTTTGTACCACGACCAAGTGGTTCACCGGTTGTATCACGTTTGATGGTAAATGAACCGCCAGCACTTGATTCCCATAAATATTGTTCATCATCATTATTTTTTGATGTAACTGATACTTTATCAGCAACTAAATAACATGAATAGAAACCAACACCAAATTGACCAATCATTGAAATATCTGCACCAGCTTGAAGTGCTTCCATAAATGCACGGGTACCTGATCGAGCAATTGTACCTAAATTGTTAACCAAATCAGCCTAGAGAAAAAAAACAAAAATTAGAATATTTTTTTTTCATAACAAATATTATTTAACTTACTTTTGTCATACCAATACCGGTATCGATAATAGTTAAGGTATTGCTTGCTTTATCTGGTATAATTTTAATAAATAAATCTTTTCCACTATCAAGTTTTGTTGAATCAGTAAGGGATTCATAACGAATTTTATCCAAAGCATCGGATGCATTTGAAATTAATTCACGAAGAAAAATTTCTTTGTTTGAATAAAATGTATTGATAATCAATGACATTAATTGGGCTATTTCAGCTTGAAAAGCGAATGTTTCGACATCACCAGACTCTTGATCCATTTTATCTGCTGACATTGTAGTAAAACAAAAAATATTTCGATGAAAATTTTATGTGTACGACGACGATTGTGGATGAAAAAGAAATGTAAGTGAAAAGTAACTACGTCTGATGGTTATATAAAATCTAACAAAGAACGTGTAGAATAATCTAGAAAGATCGAGAATAAGAAGAAAAAAAATGCTTTTCTGTTGTTCCTTCACGTTCCTTTTCTTGCGTTCTTCTTCTTCCTTTCTGCATCATACATTCCAACGCGGTCACTAGTAAAACAGATATGTGTCACTATGGAGATTGTTGTTATTAACTGGAAAAAACCGTATAAAATCTATTTATTTATTAATATATTTAAGAAAAAAAAATTTAGGTACTATAAGACCTTGAATATAAAAAATTCTTTTTTTCCAAAAAGGCGTAAAAGAGAAAAAAATACCATTAAGATAATAATGTATGACTGTATTTTTTGGCCACGTCGACAAAGAGAAAAACAACATGACGTGTTGTATTTTATGAATTGCATAAGAAGAAAAACGTCTCGCTTCTTTCTTATTACTAGACTATAGGTCTTTAAAATTTTCGCAGTACTAAGTTCACCTTGAATTATGTTGTACTAGCAGAAAAATCCTTGTCACGCTAATGATTTCAAGATTGTTACATTAAATATCAAGACGATTTTTTCTCCGATAAAAATGATGAGTCAAGGTTGTTTTTTTTCTCAAGGTCAATATATTAACGATATAATATCATCTAAACAATAAATTTCTTCTTATCAAGTTAAAATTTTCTATATGAAATCAAACAAAATCGTCTTATTCTTTCTTTCATATTATTATAGAAAGGAAATTATTTATTTTTAAAAATTTATAAATAATTAGATAAAATATATAATTCAATACGACGTCATAGAAAATAGATTTTCAGTACATCGATCAGAAGTATAATTATAGTTACGTGAAATCATCCATATTAATTTAAATTCGAAACTACGAAAAAAATTAATTTCGTATATTTTTATATAGATTATATCAACCAAATAAATTATAAAACAAATGTTATTATATTCACGATGAAAAAAGTCTTTCGCAATGAATTTAATCTTAAATATTAAAATAGAAATCTTTCCAAAAAGTCTTTATAGATATAATAGTAGAAAAAACTATGAATATCTTTTTTTTCAAATATAAAAATGAAAAAAAACAACAAATCATAATAAAAAATAAATTATGAACTATGTGATAGTTCTTTCATCATTTTTGAAAGCATTTGATTACAAGCAGCTGCATATGGATTTGATAAAAGTACTTGTTGTTTAGCAAATGCTGAACCAAGTTCAGCAGCTTGTGTAAAATCTTCCAATGATGCCTTCTCATTATCTAAATAAAACACATGTAATTTAACGTTCAAATATGAAGTTTAGAATTTATTATTTTACCTAAGACTCGATGAAGAATTCCACGTTGTGTTAATGCTAATGAAAGAGTTTTTTGATGACGATTTTCAGTAGAGCATAAATCAATTGATTTGGTCAAATCAGCCATGGCTTCTGAAAAAACAAATTAAAACGAATTGATAAATAAATAAATAGAATATGTTGATTAACCTTCAGTTTTATTTTGTAATTGATAAGCTTGAGCTCGATTATTGTAAGCTGATGGATTTTGTGCATTAAGTAGAATAGCTTGACTAAAATGTTCAATAGCTTCATCTAGACGATTTTGTTCCGCTAAACGTACTCCTAAAAAATATCAAATAGGGAAAAAATTGAAATATAAATAATAAATCTCTTAAATATACCTTCTTCTTCTAACTTCTTAATTTCTAATGATTGTTCTACAAAAGATAAAAGATTGAACAATTATTAAATTAAAAAAATCTCTTACTATCATCTTTAGAATCAGTTAAATCAGATGATGTTGGTTCTTTATCAAAATCCAACGGATAGTTTGGATTGAAAATCGCATTCAGAACATATTTATCGTTTTCTGTAATTGTTGTCATGATTGTTTGAATAATATATAAAAGTACAAATTTTAAAAATGAATTACAATAAAAGCGGCATCTTCAATCCAGTCACATGAGTGCAAAGATAAGAAAAATGATTCATTAAATAGAATAGTATAGAACAAAAGAGAAACAAAGAGATGTATATATGCGTATTAAATTTTATTTGAAATCTGTTCAATCATTTGTGGTTGCCTTTTGTTCATCTCGATTTAGTAATTCAGTAAATTATTAAAATATATATTTCAATAACATTATGTAAGATTTTGAATATCTTAAAAATTAATGAGAAAGAAAAATCAAATGATTTTTTTTAATTTAATGGTTATATAAATCAATACTGAAGAAATAAAATAAAATGAAAAACTATTGCTCTATTTGTTTGAATATAACGCTAGATAGATATTTAATCATAGGATTGAAGTTATATATCGATACATTTTTGTTAATAACCTTTCGAGTAATTATAGAAGAATGTTAACGTTATGAAGTCTAGTAAGATTTTTTTTGTAATCTCTTTAATTTTATTTATATCGTATTAAGTTGGTAACAATGCAGACGTTAGAATATATATGTCATTCATTATCATTTCGTAATAATAGTAAGCATTACTATTAAGATCTTTTCATTTCGAGAATATATTAATACTCGACAATACAAAAAAAGGTATTAAAATTATTCTATATAACTGAATATATTTACGTATTCATATTTTGACGACCTGTTCAAACACCATTTGCTCTAGATATTTCGTAATATACTATAATAACATACACTAATCAATAAACTATTGTTTAATATTCTATAGAATGATTATATATATTTTCGTAAACAAAGAAAATACCAATTATTCATTGCGTTCTTATTAAAGTACGTACTTTGAAATTATTTGAGCCATTATCGAATGTATTAAAATATAAAATTTCTAATTCTGTTCATTGATCATGTTATTAGAAACATGTTGAATTATCTATAAGTAATTCAAAGATCGAGCTTAAATGTTTATAAAAAGCAATTAAAAATTTTCATTCAATTACAATCTTAAATAATTTTTTGAGTTGCACTCGTTTCATACACTACAAAAATATAGGTGGTCATTGTATAAAAAGCTGTGTTAATTTTAATTGACATTTTATACGCATTATGGAGGAGTCATTACGGCAGTAATAGCAGGTTATCCAGAAGCAGGTGCTACATCGACAGTTGCCGGAGCTTTTGTAATTGACGGAGCTTCTGCAGCGGCCCCAGCAGCAGCAGCAGCGCCAATAGACGGAGCTCCTTCAGCAGCACCAGCACTGGCACCGGCAGCAGCTGCAGCGGCAGGTGACGCTCCTGAACCAGCACCAACAGCAGTACCAGCCGCAGCTGCAGCGGCGCCAGCCGCTTCACCAGAAGCAGCAGCAGCAGGCACCGCTTCTCCGGCACCAGCAGCAGGTCCAGCGGCACCACCAGGTGAAAAGGCACCAGGCCCAGCGGCACCACCAGGTGAGAAGGCACCAGGTGGTCCAGCTCCAAGTGGTGGTAATGGAAATTTTGGCTGGTTAATAATAAATGGGCCAGCATATGGATATATTGGGTTTGATGATGGTAAGATATACCATGAGCCAGTCGATGGACGCCATACACTGAGATCGGTTTTTCCATCACCATCAAAATCTACTCCTGTTACTGGAATATCACCAAGTATACCCCATTGAGCTATAACAATAGTTGCTGGATTTGTTGATGGTAAAATAAACCAAAAGCCAGTTGATGGACGCCAAACTGCAAAATCATATTTTGCATCACCATCAAAATCACCCGGTCTAAGTAATCAATAAAAAAAACAAATATGATTAGAATAAAAGAAAAACGTTCATACACTGGAATATCTCCATATAGTGGCACACCCCATTGCATAAAAATCTGGAGAATAGGATTTCTCAAAAGCATTATATACCAATAGCCGGTTGTTGGTCGATAAATTGTAAAATCTGTTATAAGATCTCCATTCCAATCACCTGCCACTATATATTTAAGTAAGATAAAATAAAAAAAAATAAATGTTATCATTTACTTTTGTTGAAAACTTACGCGCAGTATCATTAGGTGTAAATCCCCAATGTTTAATCATTTGTATACCGGGTTTAGCCATAAATAATATATACCTAAAAAGCAGAAATAAATAAATCACACCAAAGAATAATATTACCAAAATCCATTTGTAGGTCTCCAAACTGTAAAATCACCTATAGCATTTGTAAAAAAGTTAAAATATTTACATACAGAAATTGCAAAATAACTTACTTCGTTTATCGGCATCAAAATCACCAACTAAATAGATATTAGTGCAATAAATGATCTAATCTTCTATTCAAAAAATTTTAACTTACTGACAGGAACATCACCTTTAATTCCCCATGGTTTACGTAATAATGCTACTGGCATTAAACTTGGTATAATTTCCCATACATATGTTTTATTTACTCTTGGTCTCCATAAAGCAAAATCACCTAATGAAAATATTTATAGAGAACAAAAATAAAAATATTCTTCTTTTAATTACTGAATCCATCACCATCAAAATCTCCAGCAGCTGGTAAATCGGTTGGACGACCCCATCGAAATGTGATAACAAATGATGAAACTCGGTATGGGATGACAAACCAATCACCAGTAAAATTTCTGTAAACACCAAAATCTCGTAGTCTATCTCCATCAAAATCTCCACAGACTGGTCTATCATAAAGAGTACCCCATTGTTTTTGATAGATTAACCAAGGTCTTTTACTAGGTATCCACGACCAAAGACCTATAATTGGTGTATAAACAGTAAAATCTGTAACACCATCACCATCAAAATCACAATTTGATACACAAATATCACCTGGTTGACCCCTAAAGAGTTTTAAAAGTTTTTATATTAATAGCAAGAGAAAAAAAGAATGAGATTTTAGTCATTTACCATTGTTTCGTCCATTGTACACTTGGATCAGACGATGGATTTATATAGTAAGCACCTTTACGATAGACAACAAAATCTGTTTTACCATCACCATCAAAATCACCTGGACAAGGAAAATCATTTGGTCTACCCCTTTGAATAAAAAAAAATAAAATTTCTTATCAATATAATTCTTTCTTGATGTCTCTTTTTCTATTTACCATTTATGAATATATTGAAAACCTGGATTACTGCTAAGATGAGATATCCATTGAGCAGTTGCTGGACGAAAAACGGTAAAATCAAAATACCTATCACCATCAAAATTACATCGAACTGGAATATCATTAGGTAAACCCCAAGGTTTAACTATGATTATATTTGGATTGTTGCTTGATGAGACATACCAGGTCAAATCTGTTGTTCGATAAACAGCAAAATCTGCAAAACCATCACCATCATAATCAGCAGGCATCTTATTAAACAAAAAATTATATGTACATATCTTCAAAAAAAATATTTCAAATTACATACTGGTATATCAAAAATGGTTCCCCATCGAACCGTCAATGGAAAAGTTATATTTTCTCTAAATATTTGAAAATTTAATATACGTGGTGGTGGTGGTGTTAGAGGTTTAGGTAAAATAACTGCCCATATTGGATCAGTAAGTAAATTAGGATTATCATCAAAACCAAATGTTCCTGGATGAGAAATACCATTAAGTGATAAATCTAATATAGTTTGACTAACAGCATCTTTCATTGGCCAATAACCAACTAGACATGTTTCATTTCCGAATAAAATATCTTTTTGCATTGAAAAACGAATTTGATCAATAAGTCTTGGACATCCCCAAAGACGTAAATCTCTTACAGCACCAAGAAATTTTTTTCCAATAATAATATCATCTGTTATTCTCTTTGCTTTAACTGATAAAACAACACTTGATACAAATTCTCCATTAACATATAATTGTAATTGATTATCAGCTGGTAAATGTACACATGCTAAATGTGTCCATTGATGAAGTGGTATTGCTTGTAATGTTGTTGTAAATAAATTCAAACGTCTTTTATTAACTAATGCAAATGTTATTTCACCTTTTGGTTGATATATTAAAAGATATTCACCACGAAAATTAAGTAACTGAGCTGAGTCATTTCCACTTGGTAATACATCCGGTCTTACCCATAATTCAATTGTAAAACCTGTTGATGAAAAATTCATATTAATATCTGGTATATGTATAAATTGTGCTTCTGATATAAAAACAGCAGCTGAATATATTGATTGACATGCACATGTACTTGACCAATCTGCACAATCAATAGATCTATGATATGTTGCATTGATTTTATCAATTTCATATTGTTTATTGATAATACTTAATTGTAAATTATCTAATATATCCGATAATACATGTACAATTAAAGATTTAATTTTCCATTTATTATCACTTGATGACCATTCAACATCAAGTTGTTGTTGTTTTAAAAACATATCTTGAATTTCATCCATATGAAATGTTTGTTTACCCGGAGATTTTAATGCCCATGGTGAATCAGTATGATGTAAATGAAATGATATTTTATTATGTTTATTAAAACTTACATAAAATAAATCTTTATTAATAATTGATTCAAGATCATCTAATGACCATATATCATTTGGATAAGTAATATTAACATATGTTGTAGTGTTGATTGCAAGTTCAAAAAGAGTTTCTAAATCAGCTTCTTTAATTGTATCATCAATTGATTGAGTTTGTACAAAATATTTAGCAACAACATCCTTTTCTTGACTTGCATGAATATATTTTCCAGTACGAAATGAACTTCTTAAACTATTTAAATTACTTATTGTTGCAGTTCGTGGTGGAATTGTTATAGGTTTTTTAACAGATTGAATGTAATATTCTAATCGAAATTTTATTTTTCCACAAAGAATATTTTGTGCTATTGAACTTGCAATTATCATTGATGAAGTTAAAAATTGACATTCAAATGAAATTGTACCCGATAAACTACTCTTTGTACATGGATATATTGCAGGTATTGGAAGTAATGTTTGATCAACAACATATATAGTTAATGAATCAATAGGTAATGGTTCTATAATCCAAAAGACAGCAAATTGCTCAACTTCAGGATTCATTTTCGTAATAATTGTTTTTCGTGCTAATTGATCAAATTCTGCTGATGCTATTGCAAATCGAAAACGTACTTGTTCATTATACTGATAAATATCTTTTACTGAATCGAATACAACCAATGGATCATACCAAAATAACCAAGCTTTTGGATCTCGACTTGGATTAGTTGCTGATGTATAAATTGTTATATTACGTTTAGCATAAGGAAGTTTCATTAAAGGAATTTGATCAGGAACAGCATTTTCACCTTGTATGATAATCAATAAAGATTCAAAGAAAAAAATAAATAAAAATATCTTTTGAATCATTATTGAGGGTGTGGATTGTTATTTGATTGTATACATTAGAATGTAATAATGAGGATTTTATAGACAGTTGGAAGTATATATGTACGTGATTTATCATAAAAATAAACGAAAACAATTAATTGATTTTATCTTTATAGGTCAAACTGATGTGAAGTATGGAATCGAAAGTGCATCAAGAGTAAAGTTAAACAGGAACATAATGGACTAGCTGAGTTTGACCTTTGCTTTATTAAAATCATATGATGTATAATGCTTTTTACTCTGACACGTTCGTAATATAGTATCGCATTTCATATTTTCGTTTTATCATTATAAATCTCGATTTGATAGAATGCACTTAGTATTAATTGACCGATTCAAAAAAAAATAAATATGCATAACAATACGTAAATCTATTGTTACTAGTTTATATTAGAAATCAAATATAATATTTATCCTAAAATATATTTACGTCAAATTATTTTTCTAACAGACAATTTATAATAAAATTAAACTCTTTATTTTTTGTTTGAGTTTTTACTTCATATAAAAAATTATCGTCGAGAGATCCTGGATTCAAACGCTTAGCACTTTCTAGATTATCTTTGAAATATTATGAAGTAAATATTCAAAATGATGATAATATCTGTTTTGTAAAAGTAGAGTTCTTTACACATTAAACCTAATTTACTGTAACATTCAATTATCTATTGTATATTATTTTTATCAAATTCTTTCAAATATATATTATTTAAAAGATCAAATATTGCTCTACAAAACTATATATATGACCTTTTGCTTCATCACTTATTTTCAAAATACAGTTCTACTCAATTATAACAATGAAAAATATTATGGAATTGTTAAAAAATGAACTGAAATATTCTTACAAAAGAGATGTAATTATTTATCTTGATAAATTTATTAATACAATACTAGTAGCTGATACTACTAAACAAATAATTAAATGCTATTTATTTATCTTTTTATATATTGCACTGGAAAACATCAAAAGCTATGTTATTTACTTTACATTTCATGATATTTTATGAAACATAAAATTTCATTGGTGATATAACTTTCATAGTTCCTCTAGGCATTTTACTTATATCATAAATCCGATATAAAAAAAAAGGTGCACGTTTTTTTAACCTAATCAAAAATGGCATACGAATGTTTTATATTCGAAGCCTATTGTCTAGCATATGAATTTTGATCTTTAAATATCGACTGGTAGTCAATCTTTCTATTGATAATCTATGTGTAATTCTAACTACTAGTGAACTCTTACGTTTATTTCATCATTTGACTATTTATTTTTACCAATCGAAATTTTCAAAAATTCGATATTCTGTTTATAATAGTTCTTCTGTTCGTTAATTATCCAAATATGGAACGAAATATAGATACTATTAGCACACTTAAATCTTATTATCAAATTATCAATTTCGATGCTTTTCCGACATTATTATCGTACATGGTATTGGTCATCATTTGTTCATAATTTTCATATTTTTCGTTGTCCTGAACATCTATTTAATCTTCAACGACAAGTACGTCAAGCTAAACTTTTTGTTGCTGCTCGTTTTGCTGATTATATCATTATTGATTGTTCATTTTCGAATGAATATAATGATAATGAAATTTTATTAGAGAATTATTATGAAAGACTTCAATTAAAAATTCATTCATGCTTTACTTCACTTCATCGATATCATTCACCATCATTTGTTATTCTATGTAATGTTTATTCAAATAAAAAAGATAAATTTCTACGAAATAGTCCATATTGTCATGCAACATCGTTATCATATCTTGATTTATTTCCTCGAGAACAACTTGTTTATTTATCGCCGGATTCACCAAATATCATGAATAAATATGAACATAATGTTATATATATTCTTGGTGGAATATTTCAAAAAAGTATTTTATATTTATTAAGAATTTTCATAAATCTTCTTTTTTTTTAGCAAAAAATGAACGACTTACATTAGAAAAAGCTGATAATGAACAAATTCGACATCAATCATTACCACTTCAACAGTATCTTAAGTATATTTTCATATTAAAATATATAATTATTGAAATCTATTTTCTCCTCTAGATTATCATCAAATGCAAGTGCTGTTTTGTCGTTAAATCAAGTATACAATATATTAATGACACTTAAACATAATAATAATAATTGGTTTGATGCATTTAAATGTATTCCGGAACGTTGTCTTTCACGATGAATAACATATTTTTCATTGTTTGATTATATATTTTGAAAAAATAAATTTATCATATTCAAACAGTTTTCAGTACAATAGAGAAAAAGTAAAACTATGAGTTCAGTCAATTGATCTTATTCTTAAAGTCATATTAACTTCCGAGTTTATTCTCTTAATATGTATTACTAATAAAACAAATAAAGATGATATTTACTATAAAAAATACAATGAATAATAAACTTTGATTTTAGGATTAGTATATTTATAGAATAAATAGCGAAATCATTTGAAATACAGCAGATATTTTGCAATATCTAAAAATATCTTAATCTTGTTATTTACTCGTAATAAAAAACATTAGTTATTTATGAAAAACAAGTATATCTTTGTGCTTTGTAATCTATAATAGTATACGATAGAATATGGAAAAGAAATAATCTATTTCGCCTTATCTATATATCTGATACAATTTTTCATTGGTTCCATTTATGATACCATATTTATTATCTAGAATACGATAACATGCTATACTATTAGTAAATATCTCGAAGAATAATTATATGTATTTCAACTGTCTTTTTCTAGTTATTATTCGATTTATATTGATTATTTATAGATAGAATACAAATATTAAAAATGGTTTCGCCTTTTTCAGTATTATCCATATTTCTGTTCATTACTTTTATAGTTCACGTTGATTCTGTTTGTGTACAAGGGCAAGTACTAACTCAAGTTACAAGTAAAAGATTATATTTTATTAATAATATTTAAAAAAAATATGAACTTTAGAATATGGTACCGTTGATACACAATGTATATTAAACAATATTAAAGTATTACCAGGCTCTTCATTTAAATTAGCCTATCCTGATTGTTTGGAATGTCGATGTACCGCTAAATCAATGGCTTGTTGTGGATTTGGTTATGCTGCAGGTGTAGCGGCACCACCACCAGGATGTGTAGCTCATAATGATGCATGTAAATTAATTTTTGTCAAAGCAAATAATGCGACAGAAGTTTGTAAACCTAACAAAAGTCCTTCTACAAACAGAAAGAAATCATCAAAATCTTCTCAAACATAAACTCGATTGGATAAAATTAAAAAAAAACCTGCTTAATATTATCACTTTTTTTGCACTAGAGATTTATATTGTAGTTATTTATTTGCTAATAGAAATTTTTACAATGTATTTTTATTTATTTATTCATACATAAAAAGAAATATACGTATAGAAACTGTATGTTATATAAAGTAAATTTCATAACGATATACAATTTATCTGATCTCGATTTTTCGAGTTCAGTATGTATTATTTTTTTTTCAAAAATAAACGTTAAAACTATCTTCTTTGTGCAAATCAAATATTTTGTACTAATATTCATATCTGATGAATATATACAACGAATATAGAATTTGTAGTTCGATTCAGATAAATAGTGAACAATTCTATAGTAATTAATCATGATCTTTACATAATATTTGAAGCGATTAATTTCATTATTAAGCTAATATCTATTAAATTAGAAAAATAACTCTTTCGATGAGAAGTATTGATTCAACAATTGAAAACATTTTATTCGTATCTTTTAAGAATTCTAAATGAGTATAAGATATTTTTATTAAGGTATCATAAAATTTTATACTAATTCTACGTAGTATATATTACTGCATACATTCTATAGATAAAACTTATCAATTGCTAGACATGCATTTTATTATTGTAGTTCGGTAAGAACAAAATATATTTGATGAATGTTAAATAATTCAGAAAAAAAAAGAATCTGAGGGTTTCATATAATTTTTAATCATCAATTGATAAAATATTAATTAAATCTTTTCATTTGAGATTCGAACGTAAAAAATTATATAGACAAGGTTTTATTGAAAAAATGATAAAATATTTCGCAAATGTTACTGAAAATAAATTGTTTAAGATTTCTTTAAGCTTTTTGTTCTTAAATTATAAATATATAAAATAGGAAAAAAGTAAATATTGTATAATGGTAAAAAAAATATGTTCGATAAGTGTAGTTACTAATACGAATATTGTTGCTACTTATAAAGTATAAACCGTTGTTACAACAAGTTAGAGATAACTCTTTTACAATTGATTTAAAGTTTTATATGATCTATGCTGTCGTTAATTCTAAGTGGATGATCAAAAATATCTTTTATGAATTTATTAACTGTAAATACTGTAGAAAAAAAAGGGCTGGATGTATATATATATGTAATCATTTATTTGCAATCACGGTTAAAACATTTTATTTAGTTTGTATCCATCATAGTGTATGATGATCGTTCAAGGTTTAGTTTTACTATTGCTGTTGTCAATAGTACCTAGTAATAGTCTTATATGTTATGAATGTGGATGTGATCAGGATGATACAACAACATGTAATTGTGATACTACAAGTGATATAACTGATAATGATTATTGTGTTATCCTGGAACAAAGATATGTTAGTACAACATATGTTCAATTAAGTCGAATCCCTCGCAATTCAAGTTGGGTTTATATTGAAGATCCTTATTATGTTCTTACACAAGAATCTATTAGATATAATCTAACAACTAGACAATGGTATTTATGGACAAGTAGTGTTGTATTTGGATGTGATTGGGATCTTTGTAATTCTCCCAGTCTTATCAATTCATTGCCTAATTCATTCAAGTATAATATTAATTCAACTTGGCTAAATTCAAATATTTATGGTACTGGTTCTGTTACTTCTTGTCATCATTGTGATACAGAAGTATGTGGTGATATAACAAATCCGAGTGATTTTAGTACATGTCAAATGGTAACTTGTAACACTAATGTAACATCGGTAATATCAGCTAAAAACTATTAAAACTATTTCTTGATCATTTTTTCAAACTTTTTTTTTTTTTAGTGTTTAGCCTATGATTTATGGAATAATGTTGCTACGGGTGAACAATGTTATCAATCACAATGTGCACCAGAATATTTGAATGGAGCAAATGGTGAAATTTATGGCGGTAAATACAGAATTGATCTTGAAGCAGTTGTTTATTTAGCAAAAGATCGTTCAAAATATGATATTTGGGAAATGGATGTATATTGTGCAGTTAATAATTGTACTCGACCAACTATTTTTCAAGAAGTATCACAACAACTTAAACTTGAAATTGGTGATTTATCGGCATTTCCACCTATTCGACCATTACCAATATCAAATCCTTTGAGATGCTACAGCTGTGATTGTTTTGATCAGCCAACATGTCCATGTTCATCAACCGTCGTAAGTTCACTTGATTATACTTATTGTGTTATTGTACGTGAAAATTTTGGTCAACAAGCTTATATTTATGCAGATTATCTTGAACTTGATGCAACACTTATGTATATTGAAGAATTTCCATATGCACTTGTTGAAGAATCAATTGATTATAATGAAAAAACTGGTCTATGGTTTACTACAACAAATTTTGTTGTTTATGGATGTAATTGGAATTATTGTAACAAACCAGAATATATACCACTTTTACCAAATAGTTATCAAATGCGTCTTCCTGAAGCATGGTTAAATTCAAGTATTCTAGGTAATGGACAACCAATTAGTAATTGCCATCAATGTCCAGAACAAGCTCATTGTGGTACAACTGATTTTCTTGAGGAAAATACATGCCCAATTCAATCATGTAATACTACTTGTCTTGTTTTGGATACTTATGAAGATCCAGCATATGATTATTTATGTTATCAATCTTTTTGTCTTCCACCCGATACACAAGATTATCAATTAGATCGACATAAAGTAGAAATTGAAGGTATTGTTTATGCCAGTCAACAAAATGTTGTTCACTTATGGGAAATAGATATTTATTGTCGAGCTAATGACTGTTCACGTGCTGGTATATTTAAAGACCTTCGTGCAAACTTACGTGTAGAACCAGGTACTCTTGGTGCTTTATTTACTGAAACACATGATCCAAATATTCCACAACGTCGATGTTATGATTGCTATTGTCATAATCAACCTGGTTGTATTTGTGAAAGAACAACAATTATGGCCGCAAATCAAACTTATTGTATGATTATGCGTGAAAGCTATGGTCAAGATGTTTGGACTTCTTTAGGACATATTAGTCAAGATTCAACCCGTGTGCATATCCAAGACTTTCCTTATTTACTTGTTGAAGAATCAATTTTATATGATGAACAAATAAACCGATGGAATACAATAACAAATTTTGTTGTTTATGGATGTAATTATGATTTATGTAATCATCCAAGTCTTGTACCATCCATGCCAACTAGCTTTCAAATGCGTCTTTCAGAAGATTGGTTAAATATAAATGTTAAAGGTAATGGACAACCAGTTCGTAATTGTCATGAATGTCCCGATGGACCCCAATGTGGTCACAGTGATTATCTCGATACAAGTCATTGTCCTATTAAGGAATGTAATACAACATGTCTTGTCTTTGATACATTTGATAAACCAAATGATGATTTACAATGTTATCAATCATTTTGTGCTCCAGCTGATTCCGATGATTTTCATATTGATACACATCGAGTGGAAATTGAAGGTTTACTATATCTTAATAAAAAACCATATACTTTTGAATTATGGGAAGTTGATATTTATTGTCGCGCTGATGATTGTTCTCGACCAGAAATATTCACTGAAGTAAGTTAATGAATGATAATAAAATTAAAAAAATGATCTAAAATTATTAAATATTTTAGCTTAAGAATAACCTCACTTACGAATACGGTGATTTAAGTCCTTTTGAACCGCAAACATCAACAAGTTCGCAGTCCACAAATAATCCACCAACAACCACATCGTCTACAAATAATCCACCGACGACCGCATCGTCTACAAATAATCCACCAACTACATCAACTACACCATCAAAGGCATCACTCTTATCAGGTGCCAGTTCATTCATAGCATTAGTAATAACAATTTTTCTAATGAATTTTCATTGATTAACATTATTTTCATAACGTTTTATAACATAAACTATCGATGTAGAATGAATATGAAACTTTAATCTATATGATTTCTGCTACTGATAGTACTATTTTTTTTTCTTTTTCAATAAATCTTCTATACACTTAATTATCTTTTATTATTATATGTCTTATTATTCATTCAAAAGAAAATCAATAACATATCAATGAAGAAATCAAACAAAATACAAGAGAACTGTCTTACATCTCATTCTTTATATCGATTTTATATAAAGTAACAATTGAATTAATTATTTTACAAGAAAATAACATATAATCAGATGCATGCAATTTTTTTATAAACTAATATCTTTCTTTCAAAGTATTTTCTTATTGGCTATTTAGTTATATCTGTCAGTGTGCTATTGGCATATGAATAAATCTTTGGAAACTTATTAATAATTGATATATTTTATTCGAGAGATAATATCATTGAAGATGATAGCTTACGAAACTTTAAAAAATTTAATTTTCAATGATGATGATGATAAAAATATTAAAAAAAAATAGTCATATTAGAAAATAAAACATCGATTTGTCAATGCCGTTTTTCATTTTAGATTTTTCTTGCTTTTGATTTATGATGATCATTAGTAAAAGAGATAATATCACTATTATGAACACACAATTTCGAGACAGATTTCTTATGATTATAATCAGATCTTACAAAATCTAGTCGTTTTGAGCATTAGATTCATTCACTTGGATAAATACGTTAAGTTATATTATATTTCAAGAGTATTGTTTCATATGAAGAAACTAACAAGTTATTATTCGCTACAATTTTAAAATATATTTAATAAAAAAAATTAATCTATACGTATTTCATCTTTTAAGTATATTTGAGATTATATTAAACTTGGCTGAACAATTTAGAATACAAATTATTCATACCGGATGGTATTTGATACAATTTTCCTTTTCATTAAATCATATTTCTTACAAATTCCAGTATAATCTAAGTAAATAATACGAATGCGTATTTTCTATTTATCTAAAGTTTGTAGAGATTACTCATCGGTGTATAAAACTTCTTTTTTTTTAAGTTACATAAGAAACTGATATAATTATAGAATGAATTTAACTTTAAGAATAATCAATACTATTACACAACATTATCTTCTATTCAAGAAGATTTTTTTCAAATTGTGTTAGTATTTTAATCACATAGTTTATACAAACAAAAAAAAATGTTCGTAGATCTGTAATATTTTATTTAACGAATATATATTATCATCATATTATTTTTTAGTATCTTTCTAATAAATATCAAACGAGAGATATTACTTAAAATATTTTAAATAATTGAAATTTATACCCTATTTTAGTCATAAAATGTCCTTCAAATCTTCCGATGTCATGTTTTTCGATTCTTGCCATATAAATTGTTTCTTCAATGATAAGAGCAAGAGAGAGATTCATATTGGTTAACTGAAATTATATTAGAAGCTTTTTCGTATATTTATGACATATGTACATATCTGTAAAACATCGTATTTCAATAGCCATTTATGTACCTGAAGCAAAAATGATCCGTTGTCGATTATATGATACAAATATTTATTTCAATAAAACATTGATAATATAAATCTTTTAGTATTGCTACTTTCATAAGATCTTTCTTATCGATTCGGAAGTATTATATGGTCTTTTTATTGTTGATTATGATTAAGCTAAAAGAAATATTTTTATGAGCTATGTATTATAAAAAATGCGTAGTAAGAAAATAAAACATCTATATAACCATCTATTATCAATACATTTTGCTTTCATTTTAAATCATACAACATTCTGTTGTTTTGTAGCGCTTAACAATGGTGGCAAATCATTGGATATTTCTTCTACTAGTACTATGGGCAGTGCCAAGTACTAGTCTTGTTTGTCAAGAATGTTTCTGTTCGTTGGCTAATATAGGTGCATGTGATTGTTCTCCTACGGTTACTGCTCCAGATGGTTCTCACTGTCTCGTCATCGAAGATTTACATCCAGAAAATCCATACGTACAATTAGCATATGCTGAAACTAATTCATCGTATGTACGAATAAAAGATACTTATTATATTATTGTGGATGAATCAATTTATTTAAACGAAACAACAGAAACATGGAATATAAAAACAAAACGTGTTGTACATGGATGCGATTGGGATAATTGTAATCAATTTTCTTTATATCAAGCTTTACCTGATACATTTAAATTAACTATAAGTAATGCATGGCTAAATGAAAATATTTATGGCAATGGATCAATTACTGAATGTAATACTTGCTCAAATCAGACTTGTGGAATCAACATTGAGCATAATTTATGTCCAATTACTACTTGTGAAAATTCGACAAGAGTGAGTATAAACATATTTAACAAATTATTATTCAAAATAATCTATTTTTTTTAGTGTTCAATGTATAATTTATGGCATGATGTTGATACAGGTGAATCATGTTATGAATCACGATGTGCATTGCCAGAATTTTCAGATGAATATAATGAAGATAATGAGAAATATCAAGTTCAAATAGAAGCTATTGTTTATTTAGCACAAGATCGTTCAAAATTCGATATCTGGCAATTGGATATTAATTGTGCTGTAGAGAATTGCACACGTCCAAATATTTTTCTCGAAATAAAGGACCAAATTTCGGGTAACGTCAGTGTTCAACCCATTTTCCCAGCAATTCGTCCTACCACAACAGTACCACCTGTAACAACGCCAACACCTCCACCAGCTCATCCAATTAGATGTTATAAATGTGAATGTTCTAGTTCAACATGCCCATGCTTAAGTACTGAAACAAGTTCAGCAGACACTACTTATTGTACAATTAAGCGTTATGATATTGGACAATCTGTATCTGTCGAATATGGACATGTTGATATGGATTCGACTCTTGTTGAGATTATTGAATTTCCATATGTATTAGTTGAAGAATCAATTATGTATGATGAAGCAACAGGACGATGGAACACTCACCCTAATGCTGTTATTTATGGATGTAATTGGGATTTGTGTAATAGTCCGAATATTCTTGCTTATATGCCAAATAGTTTTCAAATGCGTCTTCCAGAAGATTGGTTAAATACAACTGTTAAAGGTTCTGGACAACCAGTTCGTGATTGTCATCAATGTCCAGATGCACCTCAATGTGGTCACGGCGAATTTCTTGATGCAAGTCGATGTCCTATTCAAGCATGTAATACAACATGTCTTGTTTCTGATAAATATAATAGACCAGATGATGATTTACAATGTTATCAATCATTTTGTGCTCCACCTGCATCGGATGATCTTCTTCCTATTGATACACATCGTATAGAAATCGAAGGTGTTATTTATTACAGTCGTCCAAAAGATGTTGAAATATGGGAAATTGATGTATTTTGTCGTGCTGATAATTGTTCAGATCCCCAACTATTTAATGAACTTCGAAAAAATCTTGTTTTAGTACCAGGTGATTTAGCACTTATATTTAATCAAACACGTGAAGAACGACCACTTCGATGCTTTGATTGTACTTGTGTAGATGAACAAGATTGTACTTGTGATACAATATCCATAGAAAATTCACGAACAACTTATTGTACAATTTCACGTAATTATGATGGTGAACATGTATATGTATATTTTCAACATATGCCAATTACTACACCTATTTCAGATGTACGTGAAATTCCATATGTTCTTGCTGAAGAATCAATTTTATACAATGATACAACAAATAAATGGTATACAAGAACAAACGAAATTACATACGGATGTGACTGGGATTATTGTAACAAACCATCTCTACTTTCATTTTTACCAACAAGTGTACAAATGACACTTCCAGACGCATGGTTAACTTCAAACATAATAGGTATTGAAGGGGAACCACTTAATTGTCATGAATGTACTGATAATTCGATATGCTCTACAAATGGTAGTATTAATATTAGTTCGTGTCCGGTACAAGCCTGCAATACAACCTGCTTTGTTTCTAGTGTATATCACAATCCAGCAATTAATCAACAATGTTACCTATCATATTGTGTTCCAGAAAATAATAATACAGAATTGGGCTATGACAAATACCGTGTAGAACTTCAAGGTATCATATATCCTAGTCAACCTACAACTGTTGAGTTATGGGAAGTATATGCTTATTGTGGAACTGATAGTTGTTCACGTCCAGAAATTTTCGAAGATATTAAACAACAACTTAATACGACAACAAATAATCTTCCATCTTTGTTCGATAATACTGGTGTAGGCGAGCCAGGTAAACTTCATTGTTATCAGTGCGCTTGTCATGATGATCCTGTTTGTGCATGTAATAAAACCTTAGCATTACCTGATAATATGACTTACTGTACTATTATTCGTCTCTACGATGGACAAAATAGTTTAATCGAATTAGAACATGTTGATATAAATTCGACTTATGTGCATATTCAAGAATTTCCTTTTATGCTTGTTGATGAATCGATTACATTTAATGAAGCTACTAGTACATGGAATACTTTACCATATTTAATTGTTTATGGATGTAATACAGATTTTTGTAATGATCCTCGTCTTGTACCATCTCTTCCAGTTAACTTTCGAATGCGTCTTCCAGAAGATTGGTTAAATACAAATGTTAAAGGTACTGGACAACCAGTTCGTGATTGTCATGAATGTCCTGAAGCAGCTCAATGTGGTCACACTGATTTTCTTGATGCAAGTCGATGTCCTATTCGAGCATGTAATACAACATGTCTTGTTTCTGATAAATTTGATAAACCAAATGATGATTTACAATGTTATCAATCTTATTGTATTGCACCAAGTGCTGATGAACCTATTAATACACATCGAGTGGAAATCGAAGGTATATTATATGGTAATCGTCCAAATGCTGAAATTGAACTGTGGGAAGTTGATCTTTATTGTCGAGCTGATGATTGTTCTCGACCAGAAATATTTAAAGAACTTGAAGACAAACTCACAGTAGAAACAGGTGATCTTTCACCATTCTTTAATATAACCACCGTAACAATATGCCCACCTGTTGAAGCACAACTAGCATGTTATGAATGTGCATGTTATGATGATCCTATCTGTGAATGTAATACAGTTAAAGTAGCTGGTGCTGATTCAACATATTGTACAATTATACGTGTAAACTATGAAAACCATTTTACCATTGATTTAGAACATATTGACCGAAATTCAACTTTTGTTTATATACGTGACTTTCCTTTTATACTTGCAGAAGAATCAATACTTTATAATGAAACTACTACACAATGGCGGACTCAAAGTAATATTATAATTTATGGATGTAATACAAATTTATGTAATCATCCAAGTCTTGTTAAATTAGTTCCAGATAGTTTCAAAATGACATTAAGTAATGAATGGTTGAATAAAAATGTTTTAGGTTCTGGACTACCAGTCCGTGATTGTCATGAATGTCCAGATGCACCTCAATGTGGTCACGGTGATTTTCTTGATGCAAGTCGATGTCCTATTCATGAATGTAATACCACGTGTGTTGTTTCTGATATATTTAATGATCCAGAAGATGATTTACAGTGTTATCAATCTTATTGCAATGCACCTTATATAGATAATGATAATGAAGATCATCATCGTGTAGAATTAGAAGGTATTATTTATGGACATAAGCAAGATGCACTTGAATTATGGGAAGTTGATATCTATTGTCGTGCTGATGATTGTTCACGACCAGAAATATTCAAAGAACTTCGAGAAAATATAACAGTATCAACAAGTAATTTAACAGAACTTTTCAACGTTTCTATGAACGGACTTGAACCTCAACGTATCTGTTATGATTGTTATTGTGATGATGAATCCGGTTGTGCATGCGACACATATACAGTGGGTGATGCTAAATCAACTTATTGTATACTTATGCGAGAGAACTATGGGGATTATTCTTTCATTACTTTAGGACATATTGATCGAAATTCAACACGTGTTTATATTCAAGAATTTCCATTTTTACTTGTTGAAGAATCAATTCTTTATGATGACAATAGAACGACATGGAATACAAGAACTAACCTTGTTCTTTATGGTTGTAATACAGATTTATGTAATCACCCGGGATATTTACCATATCTTCCTGCTAGTTTTCAAATGCGTCTTCCTGAAAGTTGGTTAAATACAAATGTTTTAGGTAATGGACAACCAATTGATGCTTGTCATGAATGTCCAGAAGCACCTTCATGTGGTAACCTTGATTTTATTGATTCAAGTCGATGTCCTATTAAGGAATGTAATACTACGTGTGTTGTTTCGGATTTGTTCAATAAACCTAATGATGATGAGCAATGTTATCAATCATTTTGTGCTCCACCTGATTCAGAATTTTTTCAAATAGATCCTCATCGAGTTGAAATGGAAGGAATTTTATATTTATATCCAATGGGACGTCCAGTTGAATTATGGGAAATTGATATATTCTGCCGTGCTAATGATTGTTCACGACCAACAGTATTCGATGAAGTAAGTTTCTTAAAAAATAATGCTATTGTATAAAAATTCTTTTCGTTTTTTAGATTAGACAACAGTTTACTGTAACAATAGGTGATATCGGCATCTTTTATACAAACTGTACACCAGTGATGCCTAGTACTACGACTACGACTACGACCACACAATCAACAACTAGAACATCTACCAGTTCAATTTCAACAACTTCTAGTACCACTCGATCGACTGGTACTACCACTTCATCAACTGGTACTACCACTAGACCAACTGGTAGCACCACTTCACCGACTGGTACTACCGCTTCATCGGCTGGTACCACTCGTTCATCAGCTGGTAGCACTGCTTCAACGACTTCAACAACAAGTCAACCAGCTACCACATCTTTTAGTACATCAGTCTATACAGGACATAGTATTCTTGTTTTAATTTTCTTTGCAATTTCTCTAATGAACCTATATTAAACATTATATACAAATAGCATAACATATGTAATAAAAAAGAAAATTATTTTTCTTTTCTTTCTATAATTTCATGATACATTTTTCATATATAAAAATGTTGACAAAATATGTACTACGTTTTTTTTTGAATAATACAGAATAAATAATAATTATCTAATTAAAAAAAACTCTATTTGAACTTGAAATATATATAATTAAATCTTTTTTATTTCTATAACGAAATATTCATCTAGATCCATGTAATACAGTAACTTGAATATGTATTTACTTTATTTGTGGGAATGAAGTAGTATATCATATTGATAATCACTATCATTTATTGTATTTTTTATTTTGTTGTTGATGTTCTTTTCTCTAAATAGTTATTGTCCTTTTTGGTCGGATACTATATCTTTGACGATCTTTTTTTTATATGCCTATATTATTCGATTATTTGCCATCTGCACATATAGTAATTCATAAAAACTTCATTTTACGATGATGTTAGAGATTTTTATTGTTTTACAAATGTATTTATTTGATTCTTCTTTCCTTTATAACTCTTAAAGAAATTCAAGTTTGATTGTAAATTTTATCAATTACAAGATTTTTAGATGGTAATATATCGTATGAATAAATTGAAAAGTTTCTAGCAGATTTGGTATTTGTTTTTGATTAACACATGATTTTTCCTAGAAGGGTAATTATGAAAACATCAATATGTTGTTTTCATAGACATTTTAATTATATTTTTTTTACCAACAATCAGCAAATTTGTTTTTCTTTATTGTTATAAGCATATATAAAAGATCTTTTATCTAATTTTTTGTTTTGGTAAAAAGTTGAAGATTTATATATTTTTTTTTCAATAAAAAACGAACTGAGGAGATAGATACTTATTACTAACATAAATGATTGTTGTATAGCCCTTATACTAATATATATTCTCGAAGATTAACAATAGCAACAGCGAAGGAGTTATTTAAAAACACAAAAATATAAAATACACGCACGAGAATGAAAGAGGAAGTTATGATAATAATATTAATGTTGATGATGATCTTCATTTTGCTGTGCATTGTATTGAATAAAAAGGCATCTTTGTGTGTATAAAAGAAGGGATGATAATGATAAGGAATAAACATATATAGAAAGAAAAGGCCAGGCGAAACAAGACAAGTGACAGACATATTTGATTTTTCTATTGTGTTTCTTATTTTTAATTTTCGAATAAAATTCTTCTAATATATTTAAGTCGATTCATTTGGAAACGGACCTTTAAGAAGAGCTTTAACAAATACATCATAATTAAACATGCCTTCGGCGTCATCTTTTGTTTCTGTTGATCGAAGAATTTCTTCAACAATACGTGGATCAAGTTTTTCAGCCATAGCAACGAGTACTTGTGTAAGTTCAGCTAATGACATCATACCATTACTTTCTTTATCGAATAATTTTAAACCTTCCATGAAATCTTCATATGTACCGAAATTTTTTGCTGGCATTTTGTAAAATTCGGAAACAATTGGTAAAAATTCTTCAACTTTTAAGGTTTTTTCTCCCGCTTTTTTTGTTTGTCCACGTTTTTCACATTCAGCTTGTGTTGGATATAAACCCATTGAACGGAGCATATCTCCAATATAAAAGTTATCGACTTTACCCTATTCAATAGAAAAAAACAATCTATATATGTATGTAAATTTGTAGAAAAAATCAAAACATTTTACTTCATATTTTTTATCGAAACATTCGAAGACTTGTTTAGCTTCGTCAACTTTATCACTGGGTAAATCGGCCATTGCTATAGCTTTGTTGTTGTTAATGTGTCTGGGAGATGTTAAGATACAAAAAGAACGACGATAGTAGTGTGGTAAGTAGTAGTAGCAAGAACACAAGAGAGGAAAAATATATGCGTAGAAACGCGAAAGATATCAATCCGTTTTGCTATTACTATGAGAAAAAGAAGAGGTTATTTCTGTCTATATGTTATCCAATCATTGCTTGTTTCTTGTCTCGAACTATTTTCTTTCCTTTTGCGGTAATGGTACTAACCGGTTGATGGTAATCATCTTTAACGATAGGACAGAAATAATCAATAAAGAAAGAAAAAAAAAAGAAAAAAAAAGAATGGATAAATTAGATTAGATAATATTGAGGCAAACTTTTTAGCTTTATTATTTATCTCTTGAAAATTTTAATCAAGAAATTTACACTAGAGTTTTATTCTTTTCATAGATGAATTGATAAAATATTTGTTTTGTATTCCTATTTATTTATTTATTTATTTTCTTATATTATTCTCTCGTTGATGTTGTTGTTGTTGTTGTTGTTGTTATTGTCAACTTAAGTGCAAAAACAAAAAAGCCTTGGCAATATATTGTTGCTATTGCTGCTGTTCCTTGCTCTTTTAATGGCGACGAGTAGATCTCGTGCCTTCGATAACCTTGGAATACGATGTATGGATGATGATATCGGCTCTCTTACAGAACAGAACAGAATACATAAATATTCTATACAATAGAAAAAAAAAGTTATCTAGCTTGAATTATTGTCCTGGAAATAGAGCGAGCGGGAAAGAGAAAATATATATCTTAATAGGAACACTGTGAACTTTAGAAGTCTATTGAGTTCTAAAAATCTACTATTTTTCTGTATATGTCGATATATTTTAGGTCAATAACGAAAACAGAATAAACGATGCATAAGCGATTTGATAAGAATTAAAGAAGTTTTGGATATTCTTTTCTATCTATCATCAGCCATAGGAATCTGGAGAATATATATATATAAATACATAATATCAGTTATGGAATATATATAAATGAATATTCTCTATGTATTAAAAGAGTGTGATAATTTGAATATATCATATTCTTCATTTTCATTCTTATCTCTTATAATTATATTTTTTCAATTGTTATGAATTATGTTTACCTTTTATTCTGATATATTTATATTGCTAAAAGATATAACAGACATTCTTCGATATTTCCTAATGTTTATAGTTTAATGAATTTCACTATCTGAAGAATTCAAATATAGTTTTTCATTAGTAACAATTTTTTACAAAAATAATCGTATTTTTTTAATCTGTTAATTCAATAGTATAGAAGACAAAATAATGTGGACTATTTGATATTGTATAAAAATAAGAACTATATAGTTATTAATAATAATGATGTAACAAAAGATTAATGCTCAAGTTAATATCGATATAATAATGCGAATAAGCATATCAAGTAAAATCTGTTGATGCTAAACAAATAATAGAATAAGATTCAATATTATCAGTCATTGAAGCATCAGATATTGCTATGTTCATCTTCTATTAAAATCTATGATATCTGTTGTTCGGTCTTATATAAGAAAAAATGTGTACCAAATGTGGAAATATCTATTATCTATATTACTACAAAGGAAAAAAAATTATTTTAAAAAGTATGCAATGACAAACTCGGTAAAAACTATTAAGTGAAAATATTGAACATATCTGGGTCAAAAGAAACTTTTCAACAGTAGATGAACTATTCATATCAATCTTCTAATATAATTATCAGACTTTTAAACAGAGATTTTCTAAAATCTTGGTGAGATTTATTGACATTCTTTATACCTGTATATACACGATTTCTAAAGTCTAAAAATACTAGATTTAAAAAGAACAAACATTGTCTCATTTAATAAAAAAAATGCTTGTAAATTCAAATAACAACATATTATATTACTGTACTATAATATTTGTGTGATTGACACATGGACACAGAATATATTTTTGTGCATAGGTATGAGACAGTGACAACAATTGACTTCAAGGCTTCATAGGTGAAGTCATTGTTGTTTCTTTCTTGTTGTCAATATTATATCCATCTCTTATCCACACTCTCAACTACTAACTTAATATAAACCAAATAGTTAAAACTTCATTTTATGTACAAGTATCATGTGACCCTTTTTAACAGTGTACTGATTAAAATTTTCATTCTATTTGCAAATTAAAATGCACTCATAGTTCTACTGCAATATCTAAAACTAAGTATGGTCGTTGGTATAATTATTATTTAACCACAGAATGATTTATAGATAATGACAAGCAAAGGTATTATACAGCAGACACGAAAGCAGTCAGCTGTAAATAACATTAATTAGTAAACAGAATTAAAAGGTATGTTTTTTCATTTTTCAGCTATGTTATCGAAAGTTTAAACGAGCGATGATTGTGTTCTCTGATAAATATCTATGAAACTTGTCATTTATCTTATATAATATTCATAAAAACATAGTTATTATTTTCAAATATATATATCTTTTAAGAATCATATATACCATTTTGTATGAGAAATAAAGTAAATTATAGATCATAGCTCATTTTTATATGTTTTAAACGTAATCTTGAATAATAAAAATAATTATTTGTAATTTCTGAAAGATGCAGAATATTGGAATAGTTTGATAACAAGAAAAAAATAAATATTCATTCGACGTACACTAAGTATACTCGATATGTATAGAAATATCTTTTCAGTCAATCAGACGTGAAATCTTTTTATTTATTTTATCAGTGAATGAATAACATTGATTTAAGAGATATTTTATTATGAATATGTAATGAAAAAAATTCCAATTAATTCAAATAAATAACACAATGATGTTAATGAAATATTTTTAGTGGATAATCTACTGAACTCTATTTAAAGTATATTATTTTCCTCATACTAATCTTTCTATTGTTATTGCTACTTTAACTAGATAGTTTTTAATAAAAATGAATTACTTTTAACATTTTACATGTTATCTTAAACTTGTCTCCACAACAAATCTATGAATATTATTAATGAAGTGAGAGTAAAATGAATTATTTATCTTATAATGCAAATAAATACACAAAAAGTTTATTTTAGAATATATAAGAAAGAATAATTTTCAATCTGTCATTCTCATTAATTAAAAGATGGGATTTTGTTTTGACATAAATCACGATGAAAAAAATATATTTCAAATAATTTCGATGTTTGTTAAATCATAGATAAGACTACCAATCGTTATTTTTTTGGTTGTAGTTATGATTAAAAGCATATATTATGTGTGTACTTGGTTACTTCTAGATATAAAACAAGGTGAGTTTTGATGTCCGTATCAAAACTACCTATACTCTATGTGTTACGCTTAACGGCTTGTATCTATACTTTTTACATACACCTTTGTATGTTCTCTTCTAAATACTCTTATATTGTAGATATTAGAAGTTCCTTCAAAATTATCCTCATAGGTTTTCTGTAGCCTTAATTTAATTTTCCTACATGCATATGAAAAGATTTCTACTAAGGTAAGATTTACAGAAATTTAACCAAAGAATTCAATGAGAATAAAATGTTATTTTTATATACTTATTAAACATCGTACAAAACAGTAAATATTAATAATTAGGAGAATAAAAATCAAATCATACAAGTTTTATATTTCATATTTTAGAAAATATAGAAATTGTCACTTTTCAATTCACTTGAATTCTCGGTGATATTAAAATAGTATCAGAATTTCAAGTAATCAAATAAAATGGCGTAAGTAAAAACCACTATCTAACCATATTTTATTATGATGATTATTAATACATAGATTTATATTCTTTAGAATCACGTCACAAATTATAGTTTTTGCTTTAATTACTGCTCTTCTTCTAACTATAGCAGCTACTATTATTCTTTCTTTAATTCCAACTTTTATTGCAAATCGTTCTGTTACACCAAAAACGAATACAAAAGCACTTCGTATTGCAGTCGTTGGAGCAGGTATTAGTGGTCTTAATGTTGGTCTCACATTATTAGATTCAAATTTATTTTCAACAAAAAATATCATTATTTATGAAGCTAATAGCATTGTTGGTGGTCGTATGCATACAAAACATTGGACAACTGATAGTCAAACATCAGAATGGTGTGGAGAATATTTAGATACTAATTATTATTCTATGATCAGTTTAATAAATCGTTTTAATATTCAGTTACTTGATACATTTGCTATAGCAAATTCTTTATATAATACAACATATTATTTTTTAAAACGTTATTATACTACAACACAAGCATGGACTGATTATAAAGTAGTTGAAAGTACTATTATACAACAATTAGAACAAATCGGTAGTATTAATTATTCTCAAAGTAATACATATGGCCGTTATTTTGATAATTTATCATTATATGATTGGATTGAAAAATATGTACCAAATGGACATCAATCGAATTTTGGAGAATATCTTGATTCTGCATATCTACAAGAATATGGATTAGATACACAAAAATTAAATTCAATACAATTTCTTAAGACAATTGATCCTTCTAGTCAACCCGCAAATGGACCATTATCTATCTATGGTTTATCTGATCAACGATTTCGAATGATAGGTGGTAATGATCAATTACCAATAACAGTTGCTCAACATTTAACTGATAATGGTATTAAAATTCAACTTAATCATAATTTAACAAAGATTGTAAAATTAGCTAATAAAAAATATCGATTAACATTTTCTGATAATAATGCATACACATTTGATCATGTTATTTTAACAATTCCAACAACAACATTGAAATATGTTGATTATAGTCAAGCTCAATTTGATACATTAAAACAACGTGTTATTAATGAATTAGTATATGGTACAAATACAAAAGTAAATTTACAATTTACGAAACGTTTTTGGTATGATGAATCATCTGATGGAGTTATATATACTGATTTACCATTTCTTAATTCATGGGAAGAAACATTAGGTCAGCAAGGAACTACTGGAATAATAGTTTTACTTACAGGTAAATAGTTATATTATAAATACTTTTTTTCGACTTCTAAATAATAATTTTAGGAGGAGCTGAAGGATTAGCATTTAATCCTCGAACAGGATTTGATTCTATATCAAGTTCAGAAGGAAGTGTTAGTACAAATGTTTATATACAAAACTTTTTAAGTGATCTTGATGAAATTTGGTTCAATGCATCAAAGTATTATACTGGACTAGCTACAGTGTCAGCTCCATGGTATGATAATCATTATCTTGGTTCTTATCCAGCTTATACACTTAATCAATATTCAACACTACGTGGTTATGAAAAACAAAGACAAGGCAATGTACATTTTGCAGGTGATTATACATCATCAGATTATCTTGGTTTAATGGAAGGTGCAGTAGCCGAAGGTGCAAGAGCTGCAAATGAAATTATCTATGATTATAAATAATTTCAATTTAAAAAAATTAAATTTAACATAACATAAAAGACTGATTCTCTACACTTAGTATTAGAAAATAAAATTCTCATTTATTTAAACAATATTTTGTCTATTATAAAACATCTTTGTATATGTATAAACTTCTAGACTTTGCCAAAATTCATCTTCTATATAGCATAAATACTAAACATAATTCTTTTTTTTGAATAAGAAGAAAACATTTCATTAATTGTGTTTAAAATCAGAATCGATACTATGTATACTTATTTACAGAAAAGATAATATGGATTAACAATATATACATGTACATGAACTCGTACATACGTTCTTGTAAGTCAAATGTGAATAACAAGCTCGATTACTAACAAAATTATACATGAAATATACAATAACAATCGAATAGTTTACAGAATTCTTTTTTTTACAAGGAAAGAAAATAATATACAGCATTAATAAATTTGGCATCCATTTGTGTTTCAGTCTTTATTCTTCTATATCTTCACAACATTTTGATAAGGATTTACTTGGATATGATTAGGATTTTGAATGTCTCTTCCATGATCAAAACTTACGACACGATTCCTTGAAATTAACAAACGTTTGAGATGTTGACGAATATCACGATCAAGAATGCTTGTACATATTTTTTCAACAGCCACAGTTAATGATATACTAATAATACTTATCAAATAGATTGACTTGTTAGCAGTAATTACGAATAATATACTTGGAATTCCACCTAACCAATAAATACCCAACAGAATCATAATATTACGAAGTAGTTCAAGATCACGTTTTTCTCCGTTTGGAAATCTAAACAATGTATCTGGATGATTCGTAATTCTTTTAACTCGATGATATATATAAATATAAATTATACAAATACATAATGCAGGAAATATGTAATAAGCAAAGAAAGTATAAATAACATGAATTATATATTTCAGTGGTACCCAACAAAGTGAAGTAGGACGATAATGTATATCTTTTGTTATTATTGCAGGTAATGGAATTATGATTACAGTAAACCATTGAATAAGTATAAGTATATAATGTGCTTTGAATGTTGTTAACCATCTATACTTATGTGAGAGTATAGAAATAAAAAAACGAGATATAGCTTGAATAAAATAAGAATAACTAATTCCACAAATACTTAGATAAGCAAAATAACCACGCCAACGGCAACCTAGATCAGTCTTTTCCGAAGGTAAGAAAATAAGAAAAATATAATTTATTGATTGAATAATACAATATAATATTGATGCAATGGATGTATTACACATTAATAAATGTCTAACTGTATGAAGTTGGGGTTTTGTTCTCCATACTAATATTAATATAAATATGGATATGACGATAGCAATTATAGATATAATTCCCGAAAGTAAACAAACAGCATAATAATCACTAATTTTAAAAGATGCTTCCAATGGAGACAATGTCAAGTTCATTTTTGCAGTTAGATAACTCTGTGAATTCCAATAAAAAAGAAATCTAAATGAAGAAAAAACTAGTTTAGCCTTCAATGTAATTGATGTCTAGTTATAAACTTATTAAAAAGGAAAAAAATAGCATAATCACGTTTTTACATAAGAACTCTCGAAAGTTAATAGAAAAAAATATAATAAAGAATATATTTGATACTATTTAATGTTTTTGTAATTCTGACAAAGATACTTCGAAACAGGTTACCTTTTTATACTTATATTTCTTTCAAGATAACAGATAGCTTAAGAATATTAGAAAACTAAACTCATTGATACAGAATTTTCTTTTCTAAGATTGTTTGGATGTTAATTAGCTGTTGAAATCAACACAAGCGGTACTAATTTGCAATTTAGTTTGTTCTAGATGTTTTCTTTTATCAATAATAATGAGTTGCATTTGACATGTATAACTGAAGCGTTTTTGAGTATAAGTATCGGAAATTAATACTATAAAAGCTAGACAACATTATTAATACGTAGTTGTGCATGTTTAAGTAATCGTATTATTTTTAATTGTAAAATATACTTTTCTAATACAAAACAAAAAAGAGTCGTTATTTAAAATCATTATTATCATTGAAGAGAGTCAGTTGAGATTTTACAGAGTATTTCGTCAATGAAAAAACAACAACGTGCGTTGTTTTGCATGTAGAAAAACTAAATTATCACAAGTTTATACAAATCAAACTTCAATTCAATGTATTTATATATTACAAGTAAAACAGAAATTGAATATAATTAAATTTTAATTGATAAATCAATGAATAATTGAATCGTTCCATAATAATACTCATAAAAAAATTATTGAGGATAATATTATTTTAATTTCTTCATAGAAATATTTCAAACTAACTATAATTGAATCAACTTATACAAAAATTTTTATGTCTACAATAATTTATTTAAAGAATATTTTAATATTTTCAAACAAAAGACATTTTCTTGTAGATAAACGTATTCTTGGAAAACTAGTCTAGAAATATTTAAAAAATAGATTCTAGAATTTATTTTATTATGAAACTTAATCATTTTTATTCAATTTTTATCAATTTTAATCTGATAAGAAATATTTCAAATTATTTATTCAATCATTGCTTTAAATATTTTAATGAGAAGTTTTTCTTAAGAAATTCTACGTTGAAATGTTAATATGGATCAATGAGTAATAAGAGCAGTACAACACATGCTCAAGTTGTTTTTATTTTCATCAGGTTTTAAAAGATATAAACGAAAATCTTTTCACAAACAACTTCATCGATTTGAAATTAATCAGTAATTTAGTTTCTTTGAGGAAAGACAAGAACATTCAATTTGAGAAAAGAAAATGTTGCATTTTTTATTTCCAAGAATTTAATCAAATCTGATAGAGAAATTATGAAATATCTATCATACTTTCTTTGAAAAACAAAACAAATCTCTTTGAAATTAAAAATCAAATTTGAATTTCTTGGTCCATTTTTTTTTTATAAGTTTCTTTTTATTTTCATCTATATGAAAATCATTTTAATATTTGTTCTGTTCACAAAATTCATTTTGAATTCAATTTTTATTATCAAGTTTTTATAGAAGACTCATTTTCGCTTCATTTTCGAACAATTTCCAAATTTTATCAAATAAAAATATTCAAATAGAATTCTGTCATACACAAAATCTTCTTCTCAAGTACTTTCTATTTAATTTAATTCAAAGTACAGAATATTTTCTTTCTTTATCTTCCACAAAATTCAACAAAAGATGAAGAACTTAACATTTATTTGTTGAAATTACTTAATCAAAATTATCAAATGAAATTTATTTTTCAAGAAAAAGATCCCAGGAGACTTCTTTCGTTCATTTATTCAACAAAAAACTTTTTTCTTTTTTTAAAAATCAAAATTTCATTTACAAAATTATTTCAAATTTTTGAATTCGATGAGCCGAGTAATCAGCAACATAAAGATTTCCTTCACCATCAAAAGATAAACCACACGGACCATTGAGTTGATTTAATTGATTTTCTTCACCATTTCCACCAACAACAATTTCACCTTCTTCTTTTCCTTCACACCATCGAATTACTCGATCATTCCCAAAATCAGCCACATAGATTTGGCCCAAATGATCAACAACTACCCCGTCAGGTGACGACAATTGATTAAGATTCTCTCCTTTACCATTTCCTCCAGCCACAACTGTTCCTTCTTTTGCACCTTTTCTCCATTTCATCACACGATGATTGTTTTGATCTGATACATAAATCGATTGATCTTCATCAATAAAGATAAAAGCAGGAGAATTGAGTTGATTAAGTTGATTTCCTTGTCCATTTCCACCTGCCACTACAATTCCTTCGTTGTTGTATTCTCCCATTTTCCATCGTCTCACTTCATTCTTTCCAACGTCAGAAACATAAAGAAATCCATTTTTATCCATTGCCAAACCATAACAGGCAATATCGGGAATGAGAATTTCTTGCTTTTGATTCATCCATTGAATCACTCGTCTGTTCCCACAATCAGCAACGATGAACGAATGGTTTCGTTGATCGACAATCACATTTGTTGGAGAACGTAGTTTATCCATTCGATTTCCTTGTATATTTCCACCTACAATGATTTGTCCTTCATTTTCACTATATTCCCATTCAACTATACGATGATTCCAACAATCAGCTATGAAAATATTTTTCTTTTCATTAATAAAGATTCCCAAAGGGTGATGGAGTTGATTTAATTGTTGTCCTTCTCCATTTCCACCAGCCACAGTAATAGCATTTTGTTTCCATTTGTTGAATTTTGGTTCTAGAAAATGATGAAAAGAAGAAAATTTATTTTTCATCCGACAAAAGAGAGAAGATTAGTTTTCTATAAAACTTTAGTTTTGTTTTTGTTAAAGTTGAATTTTGAATGAAATGTCGATAAAAATGTGTAATGAAAAGATAAATTTTATCGGATATTTTTTGTTAAATTTTGAAAAATAATTCTACTGAAGAAGAACAAGAAACATTTCAAGTTTTGTATTTGAAAAATAAAAATAAATTCTTTTGAAATTAATCTTAATAAAAAAAATCTGTTTTATTGTTTTTTTTTAAAGGAAATTTAATAAAATGAAATGAAGAAATATTCTGTTTTGAAAAGAAAAAAGAATTTGAAATTTATGTATGTTTTGAAGAGAAAGAATTTTTATTTAAAGATAATTTATTTTTGATACAAATTGACAAATATTTCATTAGGACAGGAAAACAAATTTAAAAATGACGAAAGATTTTGTTGATTTGTTTTTTGTTAAATAAAAATTTGATAAAAACGAAATGTTTTAGAATATTTGTCAATAAAAATGTAAATGAATCTGGCAATGAGAAAAAACTGACTTGAATTAAAAGATTTGTACAGAATAAAATAAATTAATAAAGATTTAAACTATTTCAATTAGAAATAAACGTTATCTTTTAATTTGTATTATTAAATCAACATTAAAACAATGAAAAAAAAAGGAAAACTGATTTATTTTTACTATTCTATTTATTCTATAAAGCTGATAATATGACTGACTGTATTATTTATTCTAATTTAGAACTTTAATATGAATTTTTAGAAAAATATTATTTCTCAAATATATTTTAAATAGAATAAAATATTTCTTAAGTGACAATCAACAATTTCTTGAAAATCAACGTTTTGATATTTTTGTTTTATTCAATGAAAGTTATAAATATGGAACATCTATTGATTTGACTACAGTGATCTATAGGTTATAATTTCATCGAAAATTAGTATGTCTCCTTTAGGAATTATTTTTTAATAACTTACTTTTTAATAAAATAATTGAAATATCATCAATAACTGATTGTGAATCTTGTTGAATAGAGATATTTGATGGGTTATTTAATTCTTGTGTAATTTCTATTAATTGATTTGTTAAACGATTTAAATTAATTTCATTAAAGTCATTTTCTTTCTGAAGCTGTTTTATTTGTTCAGTTAAATCATTAAATTTCTTTTCAATATCATTAATACATGTTTGTAATGATTCAATGACAACCTGTCTACAATCTTGTGCTTTTTGTTGAATTATTTCAATTGATTTTATTCCCCATTGATCAATTTGTTTTATCAATGAATGATTATGTGGATTTTGTTTTTGTTCATTAATTCTTTCTTTGAATTCATTATAATCATTAATAATATGACTCAATTCTTCATTGAATTTTTGTTCATGTTCGTTTAAATGAACTAAGCAAAATCTTTTTGAACACCCTTCACAAGTATATGTGTTGTTTTCTCTATGACATGTAAAACATTTTCTTTTATTGTTTGCCATTGCCATGTCTTTGAATAGAAGTCTATAGAAGAAATGAATAATGTATTTATCTACTTTTTTTAGATATAAACTTAAGAAAATATCTATGTACACACGTGTACATGATTAGTCGGCTATGTACATACAAGTGTATGTGGCTGACTAACTATTTACATAACTAAGTATAACAATTTTACTAGTAAATATAAAATTATACTATTATCTTATATGTAGTTCTTTATTAATATAAACTAGATGTCTTATATTTTTAATAAATTCATTTAACTCAGTATCATGCACGTTATATTTTAAAATAAAATTCGCACTGTAATCGAGCCGATTCTTGATTTGATCTTGGTCTATATTGTATTTGTCTTAGAACAGAATGAGCATGTTAACATACATACATTATATTTTGATGTTGAAAACGATCAAACAATTTTTTCATTTATTTGTCATTATATTTCGCTAGAGAATGTTTAACGTTCACTGTTTGATAATACTCAGAGAATAAAAACATGAAAAAAGTTGCATTAAAATGATGAAACAGATATTATTTGTTATATATTGTATTTCATTGATTAAAGTTAAAATTGCATTAAATTCATTTCGTGAGCATACCCCAACTGAGAATATATTCGTTCCATCAGTATTATCCCCTTCAAATTTCTGTTAAACTAATCGTAATTAGTATTTGACCGATATATAAAAGATCTACATATGCTATTGATACAATGAATTTTCGACTGAACAACTTCTATGCTTTATACAATCATTTGTATTTGAAGAATCAGGAAAAAATTCACAATTTTTATTATTTAAAGAAGATTTTTGTAAATTATTTGTTGATTTAGAAGAAGATGATGTTCAAAAAATTCATTTGATGAAGACATTGATCAAAGTTTTTGATATGTAAAAGTTGAATTACTTTTAATTGTTGATGCCTAAATGAACACCTTCGATCCGGTTTGAACAGATTTTTTAGTTCCCCTGATCGATTTTTGCGGTAAATAAATCTTCACAAGATGAACGCTCTTTTCGATCTTTTCTCTAGAAAAAAACCTCTGTACAGTGAACACATAGTTATTAATTATGCGTCCGTCTATGAAATGAAGAGATGAAACCGAGAACACAATATTTATGTCTATTATACATTATTTTATATCAATAAAACAATCGTAACAAAAACGTTGCTTATAGTTGTTATCTTGATTTTGTCATTTTCTAGTTGATATCATTATTTTTCATTTTTTTTATTTTCAACAAGTAGTTACAACATCATGTGAAATCTATAACACAAAACAAATATTAACTCATTTAGTGATAAGACAGAGAACAGTATATATAGCCAACATATAAGACTACGCAGCACACCTTTCTTCAACAATCTACAATGGCAAATCAAACAGTCACCAGTTTTCATACATTACCGGTAGAACTTGTCTACCGAATTCTTGACCAGCAATCGGATCTTACAATCCTGTGCTCCATGAGAAACGTATGCCAACGATTCAATGCGATCGTAGACAGTTATCACCGATACCAGGTAAGCTTTTTTCTATTATGATGGCCTAATTTTTATTCATTAACTCTCGAATCATTTTTCTTTTCTACAATCCCTATCCAAGTAGAATGACTTCAATAAAACATATGGGAGTAAATTAATTGTCCTTTTCTCCTCAAAAATTCACTTCTTATACTATGACAGTATGAAAAATAGTGTGCTGTTAATTAAAAAATCAGTCTTTTTTTCTTTCTATTCAATTTCATGTAAATATTCTACGTTTCAAACTAGGTATGATGTCCTAAACATACAGTGTTTAGATAAGAACGAAAAAAAGAGACAAAATATTATTATTTGCGTTTTACCTGTATGTAAACACCTTTTTTTTAAGATACCATTCCGACGATAAAAATCCGTTTCTGACAGAAATTAACTTTCGATAAACTAGTTTGTCTTATTATAAATAACCTCTTCGACATTCCCTTGAGGAATACCTCCTACAAATACTTCTTTAAAAGCATGTCCGATTGAGAGTGTCGGTGGCTGTGAATGCAAAAAAATTGATTCACAACAACAATCAAACCCATACTACCAAGATGGAATATTTCTCCAAGGAATACTACTTCTAAAGCAATTTTTTATCAAAAAAGCTTGTACCGGAACGGATTTTATTTGAAGCATGGTTTAACAAGGACGGACTTTTGAGAATTATTCGCCAGCACTATTTTCTTACATGACGTTTTAGTATGCATTTACCTTCTTCTCATAATCAGTTTAACATTACGGAATAAATTATTTGACTTTTCACTTTTCTTAAATCAATGTAGCTTCATGAGCACAACTGTATAGTTGCATCGAAAGCAACTATCAGAATCAATATATATTCTTACCTATATAAACCATACACATCAATAAGATCAAGTTCGATAACACAAACAGAGTTCTGATGTAAAACACATATCGAGTCTTGATAATGAATGTAAAGAAAATTGTCCACTAACTACTGACAAGAAACTATCTTTCGTCATACTTACAGAATACTAACAACGCCTACAACATACTTTACTACTCTCTAAACCATTCAGTACAATACATTGTCATTTGGACACATAAGACTATTCCTCGCAATTGTGTTCCCCAGAAGTCGCTTAGAAACAACTTTCCATTAACCGAAATGTATTCTCTTCTTTCCAAATATTCACAAACTAAAGCAGCACCTGAGTAAAATCTTTCTACCTCTAGTTCAGCCTTGGTACTCTCTTTTCAGTATAAATTTTCACAAAACATGGTTGCACACTGTGCAGGATAGAAAATCGTATAAACCTTCATACTCTTATCTATACGACTTACACGCTCGTCAAAACAACACTAATTTTACTACTCTAACCGTTTCTAATACCGACCAGCTATTCTGTCTCTTCATTTGTACCATGTTCTTACCTCATATTTTTCATATAAACACTGATTATGCTAGATCTCTCGATGAGTTAAATCGGATATATTGAAGCACAGTCTCTGTGTGATGCGTTACAACACAACACGCAATAACTCTCATTCATTTTTTATTTATGTCATACCTTCACATGAACTTGTTCATCTAGACACTCACCACACTCAACCTCGATTGGAGTAAAATCGGTGATAAAGGAGTACAAGATCTTGCCAATGCTCTACAAAACAACAAAGTAATAAAAATACTTGTTCTTCTTCCTCTTCACTTCATTTCATCATTCACACACTTTTCACACAGACACTCACTACACTCTACATCTGGGGCAATCAAATCGGTGCTAAAGGAGCACAAGATCTTGCTAATGCTCTACAAATCAACAAAGTAACACCAATACTTGTTTTTCTTCGTCTTCACTCCACTTCAACATCAACACTTTTCACACAGACACTCACTACACTCTACATCGGGATCAATCAAATTGGTGATCAAGGAGCACAAGATCTTGCCAATGCTCTACAAATCAACAAAGTAACAACAATATTTGTTCTTCTTCCTCTTCACTTCACTTCAACATCAACACTTTTCACACAGACACTCACTGCACTCAACATCGGGGTCAATCAAATCGGTGATCAAGGAGCACAAGATCTTGCCAATGCTCTACAAATCAACAAAGTAACAACAATATTTGTTCTTCTTCCTCTTCACTTCACTTCAACATCAGCACTTTTCACACAGACACTCACCATACTCGACCTGCAGTATAATCAAATCGGTGATCAGGGAGCACAAGATCTTGCTAATGCTCTACAAATCAATGAAGTAACACCAATACTTGTTTTTCTTCCTCTTCACTTCACTTCAACATCAGCACTTTTCACACAGACACTCACCACACTCGACCTGCAGTTTAATCAAATCGGTGCTAAAGGAGCACAAGATCTTGCCAATGCTCTACAAATCAACAAAGTAACAACAATACTTGTTCTTCTTCTTCTTCTTCATTTCATCTCATCATTCACACACTTTTCACACAGACACTCACCACACTCCAGCTTAACAGAAATCAAATCGGTGATCAAGGAGCACAACATTTTGCCACTGCTTTACAAATCAATGAAGTAACAACAATACTTATTCTTCTTCCTCTTCACTTCATTTCATCATTCACACATTTTTCATACAGACACTCATCACACTCGACCTCGGTTATAATTATATCGGTGCTAAAGGGGCACAAGATCTTGCCAATGCTCTACAAATCAACAAAGTAACCACAATACTTATTCTTCATCCTCTTCACTTCATTTCATCATTCACATACTTTTTACACAGATACTCACGTCGCTCAACCTTTATCACAATGGCATCGACGATGATACAAAGAATCGACTTAAAAAAATATGCCTAAATAATAATGGGCAGGAAATAGTTTATTGGTGAAAATCGGTACCACCGGTTGCAATCACAAATAAGAATGCTTTTACTTTTAATGTTTATAAGATTTTATATCGATTTAACAAATATATGTGATATCTTGTAGCCATAGGAATTTTTTTCTTGTGTCCATAGTTAGTAGAGACTATAGAACTGTGACGAATGTTGGAAGTGCCAAGCTTGCCGCGATGTTACTTGAATCACTGGTTGGTAGCAATTATTTAACGGGAAGGAATGAAAGAAAAAGGAAATTGATGAAATACGTCACATGTTTCATCGATGGATCTTAATAAAAAAAGGCATTTTTCCATTGAGAGACTGATAGTGATCATATCTGAAGAAAGAAATATGGGTTTCTATGTTGACTGGGACGCATGAGAGATTATTTCTGTGGCATTACTTTCATTTGTAAGTACTAGTAAATATTAGTGATACGAAGATATTTCAAAATATACATGCTTGCAATATGTTAGTGGCAAGTTATCAGCGTCTGAGTGCCTGTTTATTTGAAATCAAGAACTCTCATGCAATATTTTATGTATAAAAGATTGATTAGCTATTAGAATTTCTGAAGATTTTAGAGTCTACGTACCAAACCCTCTGGATCCATTTACTTTTCGAGCAACTAAACTTTGATATCCTTTCGATATTGATGAGTAGAGATTTGTACCGCAATATTTAGAAACGTATACATTGAATTCTGTTCAATGTTCTAGAGTTACTAATGACTACTAGATTAATCCATACATAGACTGTATATCTGATCTCTTGGTTTGAAGTGATGGGCGTGGGTGTGCGTATTCTATCCATTTCTCGCACTTAATCATACCCAAATATAATGTTCATCTAGGCAGATGTTTAAAAAAAGCAAAACAGTATTTAGATAATAATGGAATTTCTTTTACATAAAATACTGATAAAAATGTCTAGTGCTAAAGACATGTTGTATAAACAAGAAAATCAAAGAGCATGATAAAATAAATAAATATATGAAAATTTCTACTAAATAATTTCACGTATTTCTATTATTTTCTTAATGATTGTTTTTATGAAAATCTGTATAAATACGTCTTCAAATACTACTGTTGACCTGCATTGGTTCATTGAAACTTAAAATAATAAAAATATACTAAAAAAGATACATTATCAAGGAGTAATATTGATATATATTAGGGTATTGTTAGACACGTTTTTACTTTATACCATTCCTATGCTTGATATTAGAATTAGTGAACAATACAGTACATTAATCGATAAAAATTGAACTATCACGATATATTATATATGAAATAAGGAAATTACATCTCTGAATCTACAATTTACGATAGTTTATTCTGTAGTACACAAAATACGTTCTTTTACGCTAAAAAATACAATTAATTTTCAAGAGAGACAGCCAGTATAATTATAGCATATGCCAACTTGACATAAATGATGGACCTAACATCAATACAAAACAAAACTATATGAAAGGCGTAGAAGACATATTATTGCTATTTATTACCACAAAGAAAAGCGGTTTTTGTTTTTATTTTAAATACGTAAAATATCATTTTGTATTTGACAACTTTACGTTTATTTCATATTCTAACAAGAGAATTATATGATTTTCCGTTGTTAAAAATTCAATAATTATATATATTAAAGAATCTCATTTTATTGATTAAATATGAGTTTTTATTCAAGAGACAATTAAAACATTAATAAATGCACTATATTTAACAATAAAAACAACAAAAAAAAAGAAATATACTATGTTTCAAATCCCATAATTACTCAATAACTAGATCGATGAGTATCAAAATATTGAGCATCGACAAACTAAGCAGACATCAGAAAACGTAAATAATTATGAAACTTTATTATTATCTAGATTTTCTTTTATATGCTTACCGTTTGGGTACTCATCGCTCGCTAATCCTGATGAATTGTTTGGTTTTTCATTAATTTTATATTATTCAGTTAATATATTTTTATTGTTTGCTAAAGTCTGGATAACAGTACGTCGAAGATGTGTCAAATTTTCATGACGCCTTGCGATTTGTACGTTGTCAATAGGTATAACACGCATTCCTCTTATTAGTAAATTCCGCGTCGTTTGTCGAAGTTCTCGATCCAAAAGAATGGTACATAATTTTTCAATAGCAACCGTTAATGATATAGTAACAATACCAATTAAATAAAGTATTTTATAAGAAGTAAGAAGAAATAAGACAGTTGGAACTCCACCGACAAGATAAATAAATAAAAGAATTACTATATTACGAAGAAGTTCAAGATTACGTTTATCATTATTCACTGTTCCAATAAGTATTTCAGCATTATTTGTCATTTTTTTAAATCGATAATAAATGAAAATATAAATTATAAAAATACATAATGCTGGAATAATATAATAAGCTATATATGTATAACTTACATGAATTTTATTATTTAAAGGTACCCAACAAAGAGCATTAGGACGAAAATAAATATCTTTTGTTATTATTGATGGTAATGAAAAAAATATTGAAAAAAACCATTGAGTACCTATTAGAGTATAATGTACTTTGAATGTTGTTAACCATCTATATTTTACTGCAAAAATACATATAAACAAACGTGATATTGCTTGAATAAGAAAAGAATATGTAACTCCGCACAGTGTTGTATAAGAAAGAAAGCCACGCCAACGGCAACCTGTATCACTTGTTTCCCAAGGTAAGAAAATAAGAAAGGTATAATTAATTGCTTGTATAATACAGTAAAGACTTGATGCAATACATGTATTACACATTAATAAATGTCGAACTGTATGAAGACGAGGTTTTGTTCGGCGCACTAATATCAATATCATACAGGAAAGAGTTACAGCGATCAGAGCAAATACTGCAGATAATGAACATACTGTGTAATAATCTGTGATACCGTTAGATGTGTCATCTGTTGAATTCATTGTCCAATAGATAGGTAGAGATCTTTATTGTATGCTTATCTATGATAGAATAAAAAAAGAAGACAATGATATTCATTTTAAATAATGTGAAATGCATGACTTAAATTCAAGAAATAACTCTTAGTAAAATTGTAATGAATTTTTTTTCATAGAAGATTTCAAGATATTTAATGAAGAAAATATAAGAAATGGTTTTTAAAGTGACAAAAATGAATCGAGGTATTCTGCGCTAAAATATATCATGTGAATTTATTCGAATATCTACTTGTGGAAGAATGAAAAATTTGAATCTAAGCAATACTATCACTTTGTACTATCAATGAATAATATTAACAATATGAAAACTTTCAATAAATAATGTATCTATATATTCATTTATTTAATATCACTTTCTTCTTATTCGCAATACAACACATACTATTTTTAATCATCATCTTTAAAATCAACAGGCTTCACGAGATACTTTTCAATACAACTTAAACAATAACTGTTAGTTAAAAAAAATAAATAATATATGAATAAAATGAAATCTTACGAGTTTTAATATTTTACCTCAATTTTTAAAACAGGTACATATTGTGTTCTTCAATATGATTAAGAATATTCCAATATATTGTTTTTTTTTTTAAATTAAAGATTTTGAATGTTTTCATATTATTGTTTTCTTCATTTAACAGCATAGACCTATAAAAATATAATTATCATATAAAGATAAGTTAATTAATAATAATAATAATTTATGTATGATATGATGGTGAATTGAATATCATGCATATTTTATTTCTTAATTATTTATATTTTATGTTCTCTAACAAGGGATTAAAATTTTCTGTGTATATAAATTGTTTTGATATTATAAGACATAAACTGAATAACTTGTTTTATCAATATAAGCCTCTTGACATAACTACATACAATCAATTATGAAGAAAGAAGCTTCCTGTTTTGAAAATAATTATTCATCAATTCATTTGATATATTGAAAAACTTCTAGTTATAACTATCAAAGAAATTTTATGTATAATAACTGACACAAATCTACTAGCATTAAACTTCAGAATAGAATGGTCCATAGTTTTATACATATCGAAAATTATTTTTATATAAATAAAAGATAACTTTGTAAAACTCTCTATTCTATATTAATTACCATCATTTATAAAAAAAAATATTTTTTTTACTTTTTGATCTCTTGAGAACACGGTTATTTTTACAAGAACACAGGAATTTTTTAAATCCTTAATGGATAAAATTAGTCAGAATACTTTAAAGTATTATGATCTTGAAAACAACTATGAGTGGATTAATTATTTTTATTTATTTTGAAAGATTAAAATAATGAGTATGTCAAATTCTATACTAAGTTAGATCGATCAAATGAGTTTAATATTGTTTTTATTGATTGTCTTGATCTATTAAATTTATTGTAAACGTACAGTTTTGTTTTGTTCTCTCGTTAATGAAAGTGAATTTTCAAATGGCATGACTCGATTTGATGAATGTATTATACTTTTCAGAGCTTGACGAAGTTCTCGATCCAATGAAATCGTACATATCTTTTCCACAACTACAGTAAATGTGAATGTAACAATACCAGACAAATATAATATGTTAATATTAGTAAATAAAAATAGTAAAGTTGGAACTCCACCTACTATATAAATACATAAGAGAATAACAATATTTCGAAGAACTTCAAGATCACGTTTATCATTTGTTGTATTAAGTATAGTTTCAGCAGATTGTTTTGTTCTTCGAATTTTTCGATAAATATAAATGTAAATAATTATAATTGAGACAACTGGTACAACATAATAAGCAACGGCAGTATAACCCATATGAAGTAAATATTTAAAAGGTACCCAACAAAGAGAACCAGGACGAAAATAAATATCTTTTGTAATAACTGATGGTAATGGTATAATTAAAACAATCAACCAATGTATAAAAATAAGAACATAATGTGCTTTAAATGTTGTTAACCAAGGATATTTTCTTGCAAATATTGAAAAGAAAAGACGTGATACTGCTTGAACAAGATAAGAATAAGTAGCTGCTGATATTGACATGTAAGCAAAATAACCTCGCCATCGGCACGCAACGTCACTTGTTATCGAAGGTAAAAAGATGAGAAAAATATAATTAATAGTTTGTATAATACAATAAAGCATTGATGCAATACATGTATTACATGTAAGTAAATGCCGAACTGTATGTAGACGACGTTTTGCATGTTTAACTATGATCACAATTGTCATAGAAAGTATTATAGATATAAGACCAAAGCCTGCTGATAAAGAGCAAATAATATACAATTCTTTGTCATTGGATACGGTAGAACTGTATATTGTTGAATTCATATTTTTGAAGAAAAATTTATTCTTTTAAATCTGTTTCAGTTTTATTTGCTTATATATGAAAAAGTTGTGGCAATAAGGGACGTTTTTCAAAGATTTATATAACAGTTCCGGCGAAAAAATATTTCTATGATATTCTAGAAATGCTACTGTGTGACATTAGAAATCTTATTTTCATAATTAACTCTGATATTCAAACAGTACAGATTAAATACTGATTCTTTGAATTCAATATAATATATTTTCTATTGAAAGAATATAAAGCGAAATATAATGTCATGTGCACTTTCTATAGCTTATTAATTATAAATATAGACAAAAATTAACTAATTAAAAGTATATAAAATTACTATCTTATAGTTAAATATGTTTTATGCGCGTGATTATTATTATCATTTGTTTGGATTTTTAAACTACGCATATCCAAATTAATAGAGATTTACGTCTTTCATATGTGAAATGTAAGTACAAAATTTGATGTAAAAAACGATAATTTTACCTGATATATTGGCAGATCGTGGAAACCAAATATACTTATTAAATTTACCATTTCTTGTTTTATCTAAAATAATATTAGTTATTAGACTCTTATATAGTTTAATGAATAAGTATCATTTTCAAAGTTCTACTTTGAATAATCTAAACAGTCAACTATCCGAATACTACGATTTAATATAAGATTGAATGATAATATTATGAAAAAGAAATTGAATAAGTTAGGTACGCTGTTTATTTGAATTAAAAGGAATATGTCAGTGTACACCGTCAAAGAGCACGTTCGACATAAAAAAAATCTGTTCACACGTCTGTTAACATCAAGAAAAATGGAATTATTGATAATGTTCAAATATTTTTAAGCGTCTTACTCCAGAAAAGTCGTGTTTCATAATTATTTTATACATATATATGGAAATTATTCTTTCGTGTTAGGCAATGACATAAATGTATTTTAGTTGATAATAGTGGGAACATATATAAATCATCATTTTTGATTTACGATCAAATAAATATAATAATACGATAAGGAAATAATTTATGTTGTATTATTATATTTAATCAAAAGATATACGATGCATTATTCCACCATATATTCTTATGTTACTTATAGAAGAATGTTGAAATTAGACCCTAGATAAAAATTATTCTAGATAAGACATTCCATTATGTATCTATCTCGTGAAACTTTCGATATCAGGTATTTTAAACATCATGATAAACGTACCTTATAATTATATTTCCGCTCGAATCACCAGGTTATGTTAAACAAACTATGAAACAATAATATTTTTTGTTTTTATATTATTAACCAATTAACAGTAGTTTTTGTTTTCTAACCTATCCTCTATCTAATATGCTCATTATCGTTCAAAATTTCATATATATATGTATATATTACTTAACAAGAAAACTCTAGAATACTTCTCAATATAAATCTTACTTTACAAAGAGAGAGAGAGATACATATGAATAAGAAAGATAATAACATGAACAGGTCACACACATTGGAAGAATACAAAATAGAAATAAGGAAAAAAAAGAATAAAAGATTTTGTTTTATATTTATTTTTTTTAGTTGGCTAGTATTGAAAGCTCACAGAATTGCAACACAATGCAAAGAGCATAAATCAATGAAAAAAAAGAGAAAGAGAAAGAGAAAGAGTGTTTGTGCTTGTATGAGTGATTAAAAAAGGCTAACAAAAGAAGAAAAAAAAAGAAAGAAAGAAGTGAATATGTTGCACCAAACTCCTAAACAATTATTCTTCAAGAATATTGCCACGACTTGTTCGTTTATATTCAGCTGCTTCAGTATTTTTGTCTTTAAGTTCTTCAAGTCGTGATCGAAATTCATTGATAACACGAAACTAAAATAAATGATTAAATAGAAAATTTCAAAATAAAATAAATTCTCAAACCTCGGAATTAAGTCGATCAACACTTTTACGAAGCATAAATTTAGCAAAAACTGGTGGTGGTTCAGTTACAACAGTTGCACTTGTTAATTGAGCAATTGTACTATATTGTAATCCATCACCCGTGCTTCTTCTTGATGGTCGTCGTAGATCTGATGCAGCTGATTTTCGACGAGCAATTTCTTCTTCAAGTTTCTTAGCTTGTCTCGTAGCACAACATGGACAACATACACGATAGATTGCCGAAAAACATTTAGCAAACGGTTCGATTGGAATACATAATAAAATCTAAATGATAAAAATTACAATTTTTCTACAAAACGATCTAGAAGAAAATCAAATAACATACCTGTTGCCAAAAAAGTGATCCAATACCAAAATATAAACTATATGCCCATTGTTGAGGATTTAATCGTGCACAACTAAAAACTCGACCACCAAATGTAACAATTAAAATCTTAATAAAAAAACAAAATAACAATATTAATTATATTATTATCAATCTAATTACTTGTGCAATGAAACAAAAGATCCAAATACAATAAAAAAATGGATTACGAAAAACTCCTTTAAATACATTTCTTTCTCCATGTAATTTTCTTGAATTAATTTCATTAAATAAAGTCATTAAAACAAATGCATTGAATACTAATGTAAATTGTTCACTTAGCTCTCTTCCAGCATGTGGATCATGCTGAATTTTTTGAACTGTTGATTCAACACCTAAAAAGTATTGTCCAGCATAAAGTATAACAAACATAACAATAAGTTGATAAATTGATTGTCCAATAATATTTCTCATCATCATTGGTGATATAATTGATTTTGTTCGTCCATATGGTTTACGATTTAATAATTCTTCTGTTGGTGGTTCTGTTGCAAGAGCAAGTGAAGCTAATGTATCCATAACAAGATTAACCCAGAGCATTTGAACAGCTCGTAATGGAACAGTCTATAGAAAATAAATAAAGTTCTTTTTGTTTCTCAACAAAAAAAAATTATATATCTCTTACACTAATAGCTGCAGCTGATACAACTGATATTACACCTGCTGATAAATTAGCTGTTAATTGAAATTGAAGAAATTTTGCAATACAATCATAAACATTTCTTCCCCACATCATTGCTTTAACAATTGACGAAAAATTATCATCAGTTAAAATAATATCTGATGCTTGTTTAGCAACATCTGTTCCTTGAATACCCTTTAAAACAAAAAAGATATTGTTGAATTAAATAGAAAATGTTTTATTTACCATAGCAAATCCAACATCAGCACGTTTAAGTGCTGGTCCATCATTTGTACCATCACCCGTAACAGCAACGACTTCACGATGTTCTGTTGCATGACTTTCAACAATACCATTAACTAAATTGTATTTATCCTGAGGTGATGAACGTGCTAACACACGTAGTTTTGGCCATACTTCATCAAGTTTCTTTTGTGAAATCTAAATATTTTTTGTATAGAAAAAATAACTTTTCAAAAAAACACTCTACTAACTCTTCCATTTGCATCTCGAATACGTTTATTAAATTCTTTTCCTTCCAATACAAGAAAATCTTCATTTGGTTTAAGTATACCACATTTTGTTGCTATCGAACGTGCAGTCATAATATTATCTCCTGTAACCATTCGAACAACGACACCTGCTTTTTGACATTTTAAAATAGCGTCTGGAACCTAAATTAGAAAATAATTCTAGATATTCTTTTGTTATGTTTTTCTTGTATTACTTCTGGTCGAACAGGATCTTCAATTCCAACAATTGCAATACATGTTAAATTATTAATCATTTTTTCTTCATCATCCCAATTTTGTGTTTCTTTTCCAAGATCTTTATAAGCAATACAAATTGTTCGTAAAGCATTACTTGCCATTTTTTCAATAAGATCTTTTGTTATACGAGTTTTATCTTCTTCAGTCAATTGTTTGACTTGATGATTCTCTCCAAGAATTGATGTACATCTATGCAAAAAATAAATCGAATCGATTAAAATAAAATTCTAGTTGTTTTTTTTCTAAATACTTTGTTAAAACCATTTCTGATGCACCTTTTGTATAAATACGATAACCATCATCACGTTGAATAATTGTACTCATCATTTTACGTGCAGAATTAAATGTATAGACTTTAACTAATTTTGCTTCAGGAATATCTTGACGAATTTTATCATATGATCCACCCCAATTCTGTACTAAATCTAATAAAGCACATTCTGTTTTATTACCAACTTGTTTGGGTAAACCACCCTCTTCTTTTTTTGCTTCCTAAAGATATACAGATGTAAGATTATATAAATATTTTGTCAAGTCAATTTAACCTCTATTTTTGATGTATAATTTGAATTAACAGATACAGCTTCAAAGAGTAATGGTAATAATTCTTGATTGACTTCTTCTTTTTTTGGTATTTTTTCACTATGTTTTCCTAATATGATAAAAAGAAAAGAAAGATGTAGATAAATCATATTATTCAAGAAAATAATGGGTCATTATTTGAATAAACTCTATTATAAAGACCCAATACTGACCTACCCGTAACAAAAGTTTGTACAACAGTCATACGATTTGTTGTTAATGTTCCTGTTTTATCCGAACATATTGTTGATGCATTTCCCATTGTTTCACAAGCATCCAAATGTCTAACAAGATTATTATCTGTCATCATTTTCTAATAAATAAAATTTGAATAATAATTTCATATTAAATATTCAATTTAATTACTTACTCGAACAGCATAAGCAAGAGCAAGTGTTACAGCCAATGGAAGACCTATCAATCAAAGAAAATAACATATAATTCGTTTTATCATATATAAAAATAAATGAATCGAACCTTCTGGTACTGAAACAACAACAACAGTAATAGCTTGAATAAGAAATGATATAAAATAACTAATATCATTGCTCGATGCTCGTTGTTTATTAACAACATAAGTTGTAATACAGTAACGGACGACTAAACAAATTAATGTTAAAATAGCAGCAGACATACCAATATAACCAATCCATAAAGCTAAACTACTCAGTTTTGTTTGAAGAACCGCTGAAAAAAACAAATATACGTTTTTTTTGAAGATATATTTCAAATGTTTTTTTTGCTTACATTGATGTTTGCCTTCACCAACTCCAGCAATGTCTTCCTCGTCTTCATTGGTCTCAGCTTGTACAGGTTTTAGACCTTCTTCTTTTTTATCTTGAGCAGAGTCTGTTGTTTTATTATCATTTGATGGTTTACGTGATGATGCTTGTAGATTTCCTTCAGCGGTTGATGTTGTTCGTAGTTTTGTTTCATCTTCAGTACGTATACTCTGTCTTGTTGAATCAGGTATAGGTTTCGTTGTTGATGGTGTTCTTGCTTTATCTGCTTTATCCTTTTTCTTATCTTTTGCATCCTTACCACCGTCTGTTGCACCAAGTAAACTCATGATACTTCCAACTTGGGAATTTAATCCCACACCAACAATTACCATTCGACCACTACCTTCCATAACATGTGTGCCTGATAATAATCCCACATCATCATTTTCATTTTTCTTTATTAAATCAGTTTCTCCTAAATATTAGAAAAATTCTATTGAGATATTATAAAAAAATAAAATGAACTATTTTAACCTGTTAATGAAGATTCATCGATTTTAAGATCACTTGATTGAACAAGAATACCATCAGCGGGTAAGAGATCACCTGAAGAAATAATAAAATTTTTATATAAAAACTAGTCAAAATTTTACCGTATTTAATAAAACAAAGATCACCAACAACGAGTTCTGCGACAAGAACTTGTTGTATTTGACCATCTCGTATAACAGATGTTTGTTGATCTTTTTCAATTTTACTTTGTAAACCACGAAATTGTCGTTCTTTTCTCCAATCATTAAATGCAGTAACAAATACAACGACAAGAACAGCAACAAGAATTGCAACACCTTCAATCCATTCAAGATTTGCTAAATTAAATACATTAAATTAGTTTTATTAAAATAACTATTTCGTTTTTTTTTCTCTTTTTGATCATAATCAATATTAATAAAAAATATCAAAGATTATTGAAAATAGACTTATTTCTTTCATCTTTTTATCTATCACGTAATTTTTCATTACTTCATGTTCTTCTTTCAAATGCAAACATTTGTTTATGCAAATCGTATAAAATGACGTATATAGATGATTAATTTTTGTTAATACTCTGGAAAAAAGTTTTTCTTCTTGATTAACAATGTCTCTAAGTTTGCTATGGTAGTCTCTTGAGAAAAGCTTAAACAGAAATTGGGCATTGCACACACCCACATATATATCTATATATATACATATATATATATATATATGTATGTATGTATGTATATGCATAACATTTCATCTATGATAATGACAACGGAGGAAGGAAACCAAAAGAAAGGGGTGAAAAAAACGTCGATAACAAATAATCAATTGTCTATTGTGTGTGACTCACAATCTATCAGCACAAGTATTTATCTACTAGTCGGAGAAATCAATCAACATTCTATCTATCCATCCATCTAATTTCTTACAGATCGAATGATGTAATTATAAGAAAAACAACATCAACCTACGTTCTTCTTCTTTTTCTTCATGTCCATGTTTCGGTGGACTATAGAATGAAAGGGCAATTGAAACAACTGCACACACTAATAATATCACTAAAAGCATATCATGAAGTGCATCCCAACATAATTTTAAGAATGATTTCATTGGTTTAGGTGGAATTTCATTTTTGCCATAAGCTACACGTCGTTGTTCAAGATCTTCTTCATTCTTCGAATCAAGTCCTTTAGCTCCATCAACTTTTAATTTTTCTAATATTCCTTTGACACCATTATAATCCGGTGAATTTATTTTTTCAAGTAATTCCTTTCCACGTACTTCCATCAATGCTTTTAATTGATCCATTTTTAGACCAAACATTGATGAATCACCACCACCAGCAGCATTAGTATTAGATGGTAGTTTCTTAGGTGCCATCTAAATAAAAACAAAAGAAAAGTTGTTGCTTACATGATATTCTAATAAATTGTTTTTTTTTCATAAGTAGAACTTCAAAAAATATTGCTTTTCTTACCTTCCGTATTGAATGCCTACGTCTGATCTATAGAAAATTCCGATTATATTTAGAAAAATAAATATAAAGTCATTCTCCCTTTGTTTTTCAACAACAATAATAATAATAATATAAGTATGACTTGTCGATGATAATATAAAATAAATAAAACTATGCCTTTAACTGACTATAATTTCTATACTAAGAAAATGCTATCCTACTACTGTAGCTGTACTATTGAGAGATGAAGAAGGCATTCTTTTTTCTCATTTTGTTTTGCTTTTATCTTTAGCGCGAGGACGATAGATGATGAGAATAAAACAAAGAGAATAGGGGAAATGTGATACACATGTCGAATATGTATAGAATTGAAGTCTTATACATATTTTATTATTCAACTAGTCGTTCATCACTTATTAAATCTCATGTGATTTTGTAACAAAAGAAAACAAAAAGAAGGAAAACTATCGTCTATATTGAATTTTGCGGATCACAACTGTTTCTTTCCCCTTTCAAATATAGAATAACTCTGCAAGAAAGCAAAAAAAAGTTATATATTCTGTTGTTTGTTGTAACCGGCTAACTATATACCAGAATAGTGTAAGATTGGCATAATTCTTTCTCTTGTTTTCTTCTATTCTTGCTCCGATCGTTTCTTATCTTTGTAGCACAACGGTTGGTCGACAGCGCATCTTACTTTGCCAATGATGATATGCGCATAGGATAGGATTAGTACGGGACGGTAATAACGTTTTCTTGATGTTGTTTTTGTTATTTGTTGTTATTCTGCTGTCGTTTCTCATCTAAATCTGTCAGGCAACGTCTTGCATTTGATTTCCTAAACCTTACAACTGTATTTAAGATGTTTTTAACGCACACAGAGATAACTAACAAATATTTAATCATTATCTGTACATCGATTAAACATTTCATCTTAAAAAACAATTATAATAATAATATAATAATTACCTCTTTACTAGGTTGTCGTATCTTCGTGTCTGACGGTGAAGAATCTAATAATTGCATTTCCATTTGTTTTTCTGTATCATCGGGAAGCGATTGGCCTGATGCATTCTTCTTTTTCAAGCTGCTATTATCAATTCGAACTTTTTTCGTATTTGAATCCGACCTGCAAATATTAAAAAACATATTATAAAATTTTTAATAAGAACTTCAATGACTAAGATTTTGTAATTTTACAAAACCAATTTCTTTTTCTACGTTCAATATATACTGGAAGAATCTTTACTTCTCATATTCGTAATTACTGTTATGAATTTTAAAGCAAGAAATATGTTACTCATGAAATAGGAGTTAAAAAAAAGTAGTTCATTCACCCATAATAAGACTTATATTTAGCATCAGAAGAAAATAACACATGTTCTACTGTACTTGTATATGTATATATATGTTATATATCAATAAACAAATGCAAAAAAAGAGATATTTATTCATGAATAGTTTTAATTAAACATTCTTGCATAATATGAAAATATATTTTAAGAGAAAAAAGACAATGTATTTATGAATACAGGTAAATCATTACGATTCTATTGTAAAGATAGGGGGAGTTGACAAGCTTAGTTGTCATCGGGTTATGAATATAGAACATGTAACTGAGGCACATTCTCAATGTATTCTATCTATTTATTATTATTATGATAATCGTCAAGGACATAATATTGTAGACATATGTCATTTTCAACACCTTAAGAATTATGTTGATGAGAACATGTTTTGGAGAAGTAAATTTATCAGTAAATTATTAATAGAAATAACAAAATCGATCATTTTTATAATAAAGGTTAATCTTCAAAAGCCAAAATGCCCTTTCCAAGGGGCATTGTAATAATTATGATACACAACCCGTAAAAAAAAATTTCTATAAAAAAAACCAAGTATTTCTTCAGGATAAGATGACTTAATAGGTTATAGAAAAAAAATCAATCTTGAGTAACTCTCAAATGACACAATGGCTTTTTCAATACAGGTAACTTTATAATGTCACTTTTTGATTTTGATTATTCATAAGAATATCATGAAAATTAATTTTTCTAAGCGATACCGTAAGGCATGTTATTCGGTAAACTTTTAACTGATCTACCGATGCATTACATCATTATAAAGGAAAGATACCTTTTCTAGAACTATAGTATGATCATAATGAGAATTTAGAAGCTCTATTCTGATCGTCAGGTTCTTCTCATTTTCATGAGAATTCCCTTCGGCTTTTATACCGACAAATGATTCTAATTAATTAGTCTCGATGAGTTAAATGCAGTTATTGATAGAATAAAACGAGATTACACGTTCAGAAAAAAAAAATATTTCTTTTTTAAAATCATCGAATTAATTGTTTTAATGAAAAATTATAAAAAAAATGCCTTTGGAATATTTCAAGTAGATCAATAATGTAATCGATAAAAATTATTGATAACATCTGTTGTTACTACTTCATAAATAGTTTATATTACCATAAATAGAGAACTACAGGTCCACGTATCATTCTCGCAAAAAAAGCAAAATTAGTATAAAATTATTTCTTTTTAGTTTTTCTATCACAATTCTACCTCGATTTGAAATTTACTATAGACCAGATGTTACATTAAATTTACACTTAGACTCAGACTCATTATAATTAAACTTTGTAGTTCCCTAGTTACAAAATTTGATTTATATTTTTATTAACGTCCCTAACGCAAAAATACCAACATCTCCGAAGAAAAAAAAAATTTTTTTGATCATGCAAGAAAACTAATTAATTAATTGCTAGCGTGTGACAAAACACAATCGAGTTCACAAAAATTGTTCGATAAGAATATGTGTGTGACAATTCACTGAATAAAATATATAGTGGATAAAACTAATTAGAATTAATCATATATATATATATGAATACAAATGAATGAGTACGTTTAATAAGAACAAACCAATGTTTATTTATCATAAATTAATATTATTAAATAATTTGTTTATGTGATACGTATAAACTTGTTCTATCATAATTCAATTTATCTTTTGTGAAACACGAACTAAAAGGAGTGTTAAGGGGCAGAAATTTGGACCCCCCCCCCTCCCCACAGACGTGACCGACAGGGAATCACAGATATGGCCGATATATGTTCTTTCGATTTCGTCACATACGTGACCAACAAAGTATCATAGGCCTTTATATAGGGTGTGGGTGTAGACATAGACGAGCAAAAATTACAATATCCACACTCACACAACTGTTAAAACGCTAATTCAGCGAGTACATCATATATAAATTATTTCTTTCCTATATTTCTATACCTTTATGCTACAGAATGAGGCAAAATCCGCTTCATAAAGATACAATTAAACTATCTTCTCGAAGGTAGAAACAACAGTTCGATTGTGTTTCGCATTTAAATCTCGCTAGGGATTCCGCTAACAGCTTTTTCATTCTAATACAAAGAGTATTATAATATGAATGATCTATTCTTTTTAGAAAAAAAATAGTTTTATTGATAGACTTCTCATATTAGTTTATATGGTGAAATATTCTCTGGAGAATTTGGTTTGAAAACTATCTTATATTATTTTCTGTGTGATTAACTTTGATCTATTTGTATTATTGTATTAATCCATTCATTGAGATAAATGGTCTCTTGTCTATTTAAAAACCAATTTCTGTATTCAATTTTATCAATGATATACAGAATGATGTCAATGATTAGTATGGAGAAAAAAAAAATCTAAATGACCCTGAAATCGACGATTCAGAGTTGTTATTTTGAAATTAATCTCTGTGAATCGTGAATGAATTACTCATTTCTATTGTTGTTAGGTAATTTAATAATAATTAGGTAAATATTATTTTTTTTGTGTAATTCTATAGAATAAAATCTACTCAGTTAGTCAATCAAGGTATTCATTACTTCCGTTCGTCTTTAGCGATACAGAATGTAATGAGTAATAAAAAAAAAAAGAAGAAGGTGTATGACATGAATGAATAATAGTTATGGTTTTTCTTTTGCAATATGTCTGTGTAAATACATTAGTTTTGTTTTTTATGATTCTATGAATATCGTTTAATTACACTTCGGATGATAGTGCGAGATAAAGAACATGTATAAAGAAAAAAAAAACAAATCTGTAATTTTTTTTTTTGCGGTCTCGAAAATAATCAAGCAATTTATACTGAATACTTCATATAGATCTCTTAAAATTGATTATGACTGATTGTTTATGTCACAATATTTCTTTCATTTCTTTAAATTAACTTAGAATATATAGAGAGGAAAAAAAAACCTAATGTAAATATATCATAAAAGGCCTTGAATAAGAAATATAAAACTTACATGTTAGTGACAATCTTGTGAATAATATTGTACTATCGTTGATTGCAATTCCTATGAATAGTCGCTTTAACTTGTACGCTTTGCGTACAAGGAGAAATGTATATCAAGGATCTAAACGAGAAAAATGACTGAATATACACGCAAACGTAATATTATATATAATAATAAATCTTGTAACGCTTGAATAAAACATGTGTATCTATCTGAATGTATTAAAGTATAAAGCGTTTAGAAAAGAAGAAAAATGAAAGAAGACAACTGTTAATGTTAATTGATGTGTGTATGTCTGTAGTCAGTTGAGATCAAATTTTGATAGAATGCAGGCGTATATACATTCTTCTTCTCAGTTTTTTTTTCTTTGGCTTGCCGTCTTTTTTTCTATCTATTTTACTATTGGTAACAGACTGCAACAAGCCCTGTGGTTACGATGTTAGATGTGCAGCTATGTTTTTCTCTCTCTCTCCCTTTCTTTTTTTTTTTTTCTTTTTGGTTTCAATCAGAACGAAAAAAAACGTGTTAGAATATTACTATAATTTTCTTTCATTGAAGAATACATTAGATTTCTTTTATTTTAATCCGTTGTATTCTTCGGCTTCATAAGTAGATACTTAAAATCATTTAGAAAAGAAAACTTAACTCAAAAAATTCAGTTGAAGTAAATATTAATCATTTACATTACTTTTTTGTATATGTTGTGTGATAAATTTATGTTGACTATGACAGAAAAATATTTTGTTAGAGTCATTTTCATATCATTAGCGAGAGATAGCTATTAGTTATTTTTTATCGTAAAAAACAAAAAAGGTGTACAGCTGCTCACTATGTTTTTTTTTTGTAATTTCTTATTTGCTAATCAACACAAATCATTGTAATAGGAGAAGTCAGCTATGTTTTTCATTTAATGTACTTTTTTTTCTTATGCATCTTATTTGAAAAATCACGATTCATCAATCAACATCATCTTCCCTACCTTTAATTATTGTTCTTCGCGTCCATTAAAAGATTGATTTATGAGATAAATCTTTCTACATCATTAATAGTATCTCATATGAAAGCAACAAAAATAAAACTAGCTGCCTTACGGACGGCGTCGGGTAAATTTATTCGGGGGTATACTTTTCTATCTAACCAGTCTATTTATGTAACATTCATGTCCATGTAAATATTAGTAACACACTCAAATATATACATAAATGGACGTTGATAAAAAGCAGATAATTAAAACAAATAATTTTTTATACGTTTTCAGTATTGGTGTATCTTCTATGAATCTTACATTTCTCGTAAGCCAATCATATCGGATACATTTATTTTTATTTTTTTGAAGTTTAAATAGTGTAGATATACATCACTACAAAGAGAATCGTACTTGATTAAATAAAAAGAGAAAAGAATTGTTTTTTTTTTTGGAGAAAATAACTAATTCACAAAAAGCATGATACAACATCGAAGAGAGAAGAAAAATTTTTATGTATGTTTCTTTTCCGATGAATTCAATCGACGATGCTTGATTTATATTTTTTCTAAATTGAGTTTTTAACGATTATTGTTCTTCTTGTTTTTATTTTGTGACTAAAAAAGGAGAGAAAAACAGATCAATATATATCGAAATAAAATAAATGTACATACATTTTTAAGTAAAATTATAAGAATGCGAACAAATAAATCGACCATATCAACAAAAAGAAGAAGTGCATGTCTAAAATATATATAAATTGATTTTTTAAGATATATTCATATGAAAGTTATCTGTCAAGATTCATTTTTCTTTCTCGTACTTACTTGACATAATTTGTATCTCCTCGAGTAGCTCGTTCAACAATTAATTGAGTATCATACAAAATATAACCACAAGCAATAAATAAACCGAGATAAAGATTTACATTAAAAAGGAGTTGAGATCGTCCGAATAAATTCATCAAACTAAGTACAAACATAATTGATGTACCCGTACCAAGGATACCTAAAATTTTTCAAAAGAAATTTTTTTATTGTTATTGTATTTAAATTTTCTCACCTCCTAAATATAAATATGTTCGTTTTTGTGTAAGTAATGCACTGAGTGTAAAACAAACAAAAATAATTGTTGTTAATAAGAATGCTGTCATAACAATTTGTGGATCAACATCAATAGCCAGATTGATTAATGGGCTTAAATAAATACCAGTAAATAAGGCTGTTGCAGACATTAAACCAAAACATTTCGTTTGTGTACGAGCATTAAAATCAAGCGTAAAAAGCCAAACAGTTGTTATTATTGATGCAAATATAGCCAAACGAGGATAATTTAACCATCCAGCCATGGATAAATAAACTCCGATTGTTGCACATAATGTACTAAGTAATAAACAACTATAAACATTTTTAAGATGAGTTTGAACTCTTGGTTGTCTAAAGAATAATAAACAGAAATTATTGAATGTATATATATACGTATGAAGAATTTTAATATTTACAATGTTGAAAAATCCAAAAGTGCATTTAAATTGAATTTATTCGATGTTGTTGGTTTACCATCAGCATGAAATTGACCACCATTGCCAAACATTGGAAATGCACTAGTTTGCGACATTTGTTTTATTTTTAATTATGAAAAAATCTATAATAAATCAGTTTTATTAAGCTTTAGAATAATAGACTAACATTAAAATAGAATTCTGTTATAATAAGAATATGATATAATTAAAGATCTGTATATTATTTCATCTCCTGTGTATTAAACAAGATAAATATTTATTTAGAAAAAGCAATTGCATGCGCTATCGTCGAACCTTACAATTCGTAAGATAAGATTAACGACTCTTTCGAATTATTATAGGTAATTATCGAATGAATTGTCTAAAGGCGTAATAAAAGAAGAAAAAAAACACAAAAAAGGTACGAATATTACACACAATTTGCTTTTATGCTTCACGGATGAATGAATGACGCAAAAGAAAACACTCGACGTCCACTTTGAAAAGAAAGGAACGCAAAATGCTTGCTTCTTCTATTTGTAGATTAAACCAACGAATCTGATAAGAACACGAACAAATTAAAATTTGTTTTAAATAGTTGACAAATAGTAGGAGACGAATCATACCAATTTAAAATACTGAAAAAAATAATAAATTAAAAACACACATACACACACATGGTAACATTACTGTTCACTAGTGACATCTCAAAAGATGAAAATAAAAATATATATCCTATACGAAGATAATTATAACAGTGTCTTCTTATAATAAAGAAGATTGTTATAAATATTAGAAAAAAAACAAAATAATCATTTTTTTAAAGCATCCTTGAGTATGGATGCGCTTGCAAAAGGAATGCATTCGGCCTAAGAAAAGAATTAAATCTAAGACATTGTCTAATGCAATCCATTAAAACAGGATCGAACATAGGCGGGAACATGATTGGGGCCATTGCTGAAATAGCAGCAACTTTTTGATTTCGATCAAAAATACTAAAATATGGAGGACGACCATAAGTCATTTCATATAGTATAACACCTGCTGACCATACGTCTGATTTAAAGCCTGTTTGATGAGAAAAGACTTCGGGTGCCATATAATCTATAAGAAATAAATTGTATAAATATGCCCTATATATAATATAAATTTCAAGGTCAAATACCTATAGTCCCACGAACAATGGGTCGTCGAGTTGATTGTCTTGTCCAAGGTAATCCAAAAGCAAGACCTAAATCAGTTATTTTTAGAATACCATCTACGATAATAATGTTATCAGGTTTGATATCGGCATGCACTTGAAACAAAAACAAAAAAAAAATATTTTAATCAAAATAAAAATTTAGTTTTTTTTCATTGAATTACCAATTTGTGCGTCTTCTAAAGCTTTCAATATACCAACAATCTGTCGCCAAAACATATTTCGAGCTTGATCGTTCAATGGTAAACCTTGCATATGTTGTCTTAAACATCCAGTTCCTAATTCCATCACCATATAACCAACATTTTCACTAGGTTTATATTCATAATCAACCAAAGTAACAAAATGTGGAGAACGTCCACTTAAATATCTCAATATACGTGCTTCTTTAAGAAATCCATCAACTCGTTGACGTAATTGCTGAGGAGGAAAACGTGAAAAATAGAATACTTTAGCAGCATGTCGATAACCATTTTCATCCTCACATTGATATACAGTAGCTTCACCACCTTGACCGACTATATTTATTATTTTATAAGTATGACCATTCACAACAAATCTTTCTATATAAAAAATAAATAGGTTAATCTAGTAATCATAATAACAATAGAATATAATACTAGGATCATTCAATGATTTATTACCTTTTTTAGATAAACCAAGACCCATGTTAAATTTTCGTGTAAATAATGTGTCTATTAAATTTTATAAAGTAAAGCTAAAAGTCATGGTCTTATTTATGTCAATCAATAATAGTTAGTTTCAAGAACACTGACAACGAAAATCGGCTGATATTTGATGGCCATTATCTTGCATCGGATAAATTGTATAGCTTTTTTTTTGCTTTCCTTTCGTTGTCTTTTTCTTTTTCTCTTTTTTTTGGTCACAGTTTAATGCACACACCTAGGTAAAGGGGGTAACAGTTATGATTACACTTTTTTTTCTTATCATATCTATACACCGGTCACGAACGTAGAACTAATTTCTATCATCCTCAACTTAACTCAGCATTGATAAGTATGAAATAGTTACGCTTCATGCGTCAAAAGAAAGAAGAAGAAAAAAAAGAACGTATGATGAATATACTCGTTTATTTTTCATACATCTCTTTCTACAATCGGTAAACGTTGATACAAAGAAATACGTTCATTTTTAATAATATTTAATTTTTTTTCATTATGTTCAATTAAAATATTACAATCATGTAATGTACGTTTTGCTTGATCAATAGCAAGTATATCAAGTAATTGTTTAGCAATCGATGGTATAATTGGTTGAAGAAGTATACCACAAATACGTAAACATTCAAGTGTTGAATAAATTAATATTTGTAAACGTTGTTGATCAGATTCTTTAGATGATTTAGCTAATAACCATGGTTGTTCAGATTGTACATAACCATTACATGTTCGAAGAACATCCATAATAGCAATAATTCCATGATAGAATTCATATGAATCATAGGCATGTGCGACACGTGATGGAAGATTAGTACATTGTTCGATCAGTTCTTTTGTTGAAGAAGGATATGAATGTAAAGGATGAGATGGATAGATTTGTTGTGGATTTATTGTTGATGATGTAACACGATTAAGTAGATTACCAAGTGTATTTGCTAATTCTGCATTTAAATATTTTTTCATTTTATATTCATTAAAATTTGCATCTTGTGAGAGTATATCTTCACGTAATAAACAATAGCGAACTCCATCGCATTGAAATTTGCTTAGTAAATCAAATGGATCAATCACATTACCTATAAATTAAGAAGGATAATAAACTTTCCAAAAGATAAATAGACAAAAGTTATTATTTACCAACACTTTTTGACATTTTTCTATCGTCTTTCAACCAATGTCCATGAACAATTAATTGATGTGGTAATTCAAGATTAAGTCCCATAAGTAATGCCGGCCAATAGATTGCATGAAATCGAATAATTTCTTTTCCAATTATTTGACAATTAGGAGGCCAATGAACTAGTTCATTTGGATAACCAGCAACAGTTAAATAATTAATAAGAGCATCAATCCAAACATATACAATTTGTGATGAATCATTTGGCACCTAAATTATGTATTCTGTTTAGATATATAAACTGGAACAAACTTTATATCAGTCACAAAACTCAATCCTTTCTATACTAATGAAATAAAGCTGAAATTTTCACATCTTCATTTTGTATGTTTTAAGAGTTTTTATTATATTTGAAGTTTATTTTTCATAGATTATCGATGGATGTAGAGGATTGAAAAAATCAACTCTAATACAATCATAAAATACATTAGTATCATTTATTAGAAAACAATCATAAGAAAATATTACACAGGGAATAAACCATGAAGAAAATGACATTATACTAATGAAACAGATATTATTTTTGATGTATTTGATTTTCATTGATTAAAATAATAATTTACATTAAAATCATTCCATACTTTTGATTTTTAATCAATTCTATTTAATGATTATCATTATGAATCAATTTCATTTGATGATTTTTATGATAATTTCCATTTTAATTAGTGCAAATGTAATACATCAAAAATAATGTCCATTACACATTATCAGATGTATCGATTTTTTTTTCGTATTTTTTACACGAATGTCGTCGTTTTTTGTCATTTTGTTTATTCCGTAGGATAGTCATGAAAAGACAATATTTTTTATTGATATTACTATTTGAATAATATTTTCAACCATAATAACAAAAATAAATTGTGACTGAATGACGTAAAAGACTCAGTCTTGTTGATAAAAAGAATTTTCTATTGATTTATTTCGATATATGTATATTACTTTCTTACAATCCTGCTTATTTAGTATCAGCGCTCTTATAACACCAAGCAATATGATTCAATACTCTATTTGTCTGTAGAAATTTATTTTTCAAATAATAGTTTATAAGGAAAACACACTATTTTATATTTCTCTAAAATCTAATTTAATCGTTTAATAATGAATCCGTCACGTTCTTCTAAACAAAATTGTAACGTTCATTCAAAAATGACAATTAGTTCCTTGATTAGTCTACTCTCAAGCACAACAACATTGATGGCCATTTTATATGGTTGGTTTTGTATGTATATTGTTCACATACACACGCTTTAGCTCTTCAAATCGACCTCCGAAATACAATTCGATGTGAAAAACTTCACTTACAAAAAATATCAACCTTATAAATGAACTACTTTTTAAAAAATAACAAAACTCTTATCATGATAAAATGTCTACTCAAAATAATTATGAAAAATCAAAATACTGAATATGTAATCATTATTGATTATTATCAACCTAAAGATAAAATCATATTTTTCTCTCTACTATCGACTAAAGATCTTTAACACAATATAGTCGTATATCTCTTTTAATTAGTTGTATAACTGATAAAAAATGTTTCTTACTTGAATACCCCATGAAAGTCTTTTAGCTTCTCTTGATATTGATATATCACCTTGTTTTTTAAGTTCATTCAATTGAATCAATGCTAATTTGTTATATTTAATAGGAAATAATGGTTTTTTATCAGTTAGCCATTGTTCGATACGTTCATGAAATAGACTTAATTTAAACATGTAATTTTTTTCTTCTGTCCATTCAACGGGTCGATCTGTTTCTTTAAGTTTTGCTTGACCTGTTTGATCTTTTATAATCTATTATTTCAAAAATTTAATCATCAACAGTGAAACTAACCTGATTCTTACTTCATCTTCGTTAACAAAACATTCATCTTGAACAGAATACCATCCTTGATAACTTCCTTTATAAATAAGATTTCGTTTTAATAATTCTTGCCAAACATGTTGAACAGCTTGACAATGTTTTTTATCTGTTGTTCGAATATAATCCGTATATTGAATAGAAGATTGATCAAACATTGTACGAAATGTTTCTTAAAAGAGAAAAAGAAAATTATTTTCAAAAAGAAAAAGAATGAATTTTTCTACTTGAAACTTGATTACAAAATTCTAATGGTGTAAGTTGCGTAGCTGTAGCAGCACGTTCTATTTTTAATCCATGTTCATCAGTACCTGTTGAGAATATTATTTTAGGTGCTGGACGATGTTTTACTATTTGCCATCGTGCAATTGTATCAGCAAGTAAACTTGAGTAAAGATGTCCTATATGAGGTTTAGAATTAACATAGTAAATTGGAGTTGAAATAAAATAGGATGCAATACGACTTATTGTCATTGCAATCGAAAATTTTAATAAAAATCTAAAATAGAAAATATTTTTTAATAGTTAGGTTTTGTAGGTGAGGATATGTCAAAGTAAAGAGAAACTAAGCCCTTTTTTAATCGAAAGAAAACAAAAAATAACGTTCATATTTTTTTTCTTTAAATATGAGAAATATAAGCTGACTTTGGATATACGAGGAAGATTCATTTAATTGCCTTTTCTCATGCATGTGTAAGTTAATGAAGAAAGAAAATGGATACAGTTTATACAATCAACACAAATCTTAGAATATATCTACATAATAGTGATATAACTGTAACTGAAGAATGAACAGCAAATTTCGACTTTTTATCGAACTGCAGTAGATATCCGATGGCTTTATGAACTATATTCTACATCAACAGTAATAGATGTTCTGTAGATTATATTTATTACTGATCCATTTGTGATATATATATATTGAACGTAGATATTAATGTAATAGAAAAATAATGCTGGATTGGTAAATGATATTATCCAATGTAATTGTTATTTTATCGCTTCACAGAACTTTTCGTATGTATTGTAGATGGCATAGGAAATCAATAAGAATACTATTATATATATATGTTATATCTCTGTTGTATAATATCCAATAGATGTTCAATTTCTTTAGTCTTTGTGTAATGTTAATCAATTGATATCATCTGTCAGTCAGTCAGTCTTTTTTTAAAGTAAGTATATGTTCCATTTGTTTTTTTTATTGTTAAAACATCAGACAATTGATCTTTCAAGATGTATTCTTTGTTACTATTATCCGTCTTTGTTTGTTCAAAGCTCTCTTTCTTATTCTTTTGCTTGATACTATGGGTGTGAACAGATGCTATAATTGCCCTGAAGAGTAAAGATTTCGTCGTCTGTCTGTATATATATATATATATCTCGCAAGAATATAAAACGGCATTGTTTAACCGCCATTATCCGCTAAAAACAGTCTACTTATACATATTATAAAAAATGTTTTTATTCATTAGTCAAGCTTATTCTATTCTATTGAAGAACAATACTTGTATTTTCTTCTTTCATTCTTCATAAGAGATCAATCATGAATTTTGTAGAATATAAACGTACAACCATTTCTACTACTGTTTAACTTTATTAAACACCGTCTTTTTGTTCTTTTCTCTACGTATTTCAATTATCAAATCATTTTATATGGAAGAAAATCGTCATATGTCTACTATCAATAACAAATATCTTTATACTGTACGTAAGAATATTGCATGCATACATAATAAAAAAAAAAGATAGTTGTGTTATTTAACATATCGAATCTTCATTAAATAGAATTTTAACCGAGGTTTTTTGTTAAAATGTGTGTATAGTATTCGTATTCGATCGATACAATAAGATAAGAAATATATTTTTAATATGTGATCAATCAAAAAAACTCTATTTGATGCTCATCGATCATGCTTATAGAAATGAGATTTTTTGTATCGAATATCGATTTTTGAATGTATGGCACAAATTATAATTTAGATACCAATATATCTATGTTGATATTTAGACCTTTATTTTTTTAAATTGACTAGAACAATCTACACATTCTTAATTACTTGAAGCGTGGTTAGATAGCGAGACAGTGGCGTAAAAAAAAAGATGACACTTTGAGACAATGAACAGAAGAACGCGAGAGAGAGAGAGAAATAGGATGGTTAATTTCATGGGTTTATATAGGCGGTAAAGAGAAAAAATAGAGAGTAAAAACAGTTGTTGTACATTGATCGACAATGATGACAACAACAAATGGAAAAAGAACAGCATATGAGTTATTATCAAAGAAAAAAACTAGCAATGGTACAGAACAACAGTATTGTTCATCGGAAATTGAAGTAAGTAAATATTGATTAATTGTACAGAGACTAGGCACATCTGTTCGTTAATTTCATAGATAATATATGAAACATGACAATAATATTTATTAGATAGAATGAATCGGAAGGTATAATCTTTGAAGTCATGATAACTAAATGTTCATCTTATACACATCCATCATTTGTTCTTAAAGCTTTTAGTAATGTGTTATCTTTCTTTTTGTGTCGAACAAGACAATAGCTGTGATAGACATATATATATTATTTTGTTAAAGTTCATCAAGTTTAGTATTTATCTAATTATAGATTATGGAACCTGATACATACGGTGGTTTACTTAAATCAACACCTTTAACTCAAACATTAGTTCTTCCAAATGATTCACTTACACAACCTCCATCAATTTCATCATCGAATACAAATACGTATGATATACGTTCATCATCATCTCGTCGTCATTATTATAAAAAACGTCATGAAAATGTTTCATCAATGGATGATCATGATGAACGTATTGAAGTTAAAATTCTTCCACAAGATGATAATTGGGGTGAAACAACAACAATAACATGTAATGGTGGTAATGATGATATTTTAACAACGAATAATGATACAACTATACAAATAAATGATCCTATACAATATATATCAAATAAAATTAATCATCGAACACGTTCAGTTTTAATCTGCCATTTTATTATTTATTTTCTTTGTCTCATTGCTTTTATATCACCTATATTATTTCTTTCATTACCATATACATTGAATAGATATGATATAATATCTATTAATGATTATACATTATTATTAACAATTATTTTTAAATTATTATTTTTATTTCTTGGAACATTATTATTCTTTCATCGACGACGAAATACAATTTATTTACCACGTATTCACTTACAAAAATTACTTTTTATGATTATGTTAACAATAATTATTTTTACTTATTGGTTATACTATTTATTCAAATTATTACCATTATATGTGGAAAAATATAATCAAATTTTATCAATGACATCAACATATGAAGATTTACTTTTATTTTTATTAATATTAATGATTATTATTTTAGAAATTAAATGGTTATATCCGAAATGGATTGTTAAAATTGTACGATCACCAGATGGACAAACAAGACAATATACTATTGGTAAAACAAAAAAAGATTTTATTATTTTTAAAATTTATTATATATACATATATATTATAATAGGTTCAATGTCCATACAAGAAGCAAGTATTTATTTACTTGAACAATATTATAAAGATTTTCCTGTATTTAATCCATGGCTGGAAAATGCACATCAAACACAAGCAAAACAGCATGGAGCATTTTCAGTGAAATCTAATGGATCACAATCCAATACATCGACACTTATCGGTGGTACAAATGGAAATAAAGATCTCGCACAAGCTATACGAGGATATAATGATCGGTATATTATATTTTCTTTTGTTATTAATTAGAAGTCACTAAATTTTATCAACTTACCTTTCCAACCATTTCCTTCATATTTTCAGCGAGTTTTGATCGATGTCTAGCACACTCTACGTCGTTTGCAGGAGATTTTGACGAAATTACAATTGGTTCTCTCAGTATCACAGTCGTTGCTTTGAGGGAAAGAAAATATAAATTTAAGATTTTCTGAATTCTCATGCTCAATAAAACTTTCTTTGAAAATTATTATAACAATTCGATATTCTAAAGTTTTCTTCCTATTATATATGCATAATTTATAAATAAATTTACTTTAGATTCTATGCAGAACTTGATTATGAACGTCGTGTACGAAAACGTCGTTCAAAATTAATAAGTTCATGTGATGAAGCATTTACACATGTTCGAAAATGTTTCGAAGAAAAATATAGTTCAAATATATCTATGGATGCCCGAGAAGCAGCTCAAGTAATAATAAATTCTACAATCATATTTCATTCGGGAGAAAAACAAATCTTTTATTTCTAGGCTGTATTTTCTTCTATGTCACGTTCACTTCAGAAATATCTTCGAATAACACGTCAACAACCATATTTTACTCGAGAAACAATTATTTCTCATTTATCAACATGTTTATCACATGATTTATCTCCTCGAACATTTCTACAACGTTACATACAAACGGAATCTCAACCATTAGCAACATTACTTTTTCCAACATTATCTAATGATAATATTGAACAATCTTGGACAATTATATGTGATTCACAATCACATATTAATGATAATGAAGATAAAAAATTAATATCAATTAATCAATCTATATATAAAAATTTAATATTTGTACTTAAACAACAAAATGCGGAACATATTGCATTAATATGTACATTTCATGAAATACCACGAATACATTTAATAGAGAAATTTTTCGATATTAAATATAATAAATTTGTTTTAAAACTTAATTCAGAAACATCAGTTTAATATTCAAGTCAAATTATGTTTTCATAATTATTTAATTTCTTTCGTATATGTGTGAATTAGTTAAGGTTTCTTTTTTTTTTGTTTTTGCTTTTTTTTTTTCTATAGAAATTTGTGAATAAAACTGACTCATCTTACATAATACTGATGTAATTACAAATAGTATAAATATAGAAAGAAAGAATAACTAGAAATTATTATTTGAATTTGGTTCTTTTTTAGAAATAATGGCGTCAGCATCATATTCAACAGATTTTAAACGAAAAAATCCATCGGATTATACGAATGGAAATCAAAATAAAAAAAGTCATTGGTCAACAGTTCTATCAACTGCTTTGGAAGATGAAAGTGTACGAGTATATAAAGATGATTTATGTACGGTGATTATAGATAAATTTCCAAAAGTATGTAACTGATAATTTAAATTCAAATATTTGAAACTAATAAAAATAATTTACGTTATTTTCCTAGGCTCGTATTCATTTACTTGTTATGCCTAATCAATATATCGCAGATGTCAAAAGTCTTAATAATACTGATCTTCCTTTAATTAAACATATGCTTAAAATTGCTAAAGAGGTTGCTGAAAAGTAAGTTCATTCAAGATTTGAATCTCAACTATTAATTCTTTTAATTAATTTAGAACTGCAGCAAAAGCAAATGCTCGTGGTATATTTAATGAATTTCGTTATGGTTTTCATACAATTCCAACTCTGTCACTTCTTCATATGCATGTCATTAGTCAAGATTTTATATCAAATAGTTTAAAAACAGTATGTTTATTCATTCTTATCATAACCTATATGTACATTTTCTTTTTTATTAAAAGAAAAAACATTGGAATTCGTTTACAACTAATTATTTTATTGATGCAAGTGAAGTTATTGATGAATTACAAGCAAATGGTTCTGTTCGTATTGATACAACACGAATGAAAAAACTTCTTGACGAAGATTTAAAATGTCATCGGTGTTCAAATAATTTCGCAACAATGCCTAAACTTAAACAACATTTACTAACACATACTTCATAATTTTTTGTACATATAATTAGATTGAAAAATAAAAAATTAATTTGGAAAATTATATTTTGTGTTGAATATGTCCTGAAGGCACTTTACGTGGTTTATTATACTGATTTATTTTGGAATAATTTTGTTTCCATATTGATCGATCACTTGCAGTACGTATGAGTTTATCAAGATGAGCAATATCAGTATTAGTTAATTGTGATGAACTTGCTGATCGAGATTTTATTTTTAAATTATAATTTGAAGATGGTAGATATTCATTTTTTGAAAACAATGTTTGTTGTATTGGCTTCTTATTAACAGTTACTTTGTCTAGGTTTCTTTGATTTGAATGTTGAATGTGTTGTCGTCGACGAGCAGCATACCAACAGAAAAAACCAACGATAATAATAAGAATAAATATAGAAATAAGAATAAAGAATAACCATTGAAAAAAGATTTGCGATTCTTTTACTGTCATATTACATATTTATTCATTTAAAATCATTTCTTTTTTTACATCGATAGAAAAAAAATTATAAGAAGTTTTATTTAGGACAAAAAAAATATATTTAATAAAACGATTTACAATACTTTCCCGCTGGCAGAAAATAAAATGAAAATAGTTTTAATTTTTATCATTTTTTTATTATAGTTTCAATCCAATCTAAATAAGCTGATACACGAGTATATATTCCTGCATGATGTGCATGACCACAACCAGTACCATAGCTAACAATTCCAACAAGTTCAAATTGACTTTTTATTGAAGAAAAATACATTAATGGTCCACCACTATCACCTTTACATGTATCTATTGATATGAGAGAATAAATAAATAAAATAAGATATATTTTATCTAACCTTTACCAGCCATTTCTAATCCAGCACATATTTGTGTATGCGTATCAGTTAATTCGTTTTCACAAGTGTGTGATGTATGAGAAAGTATACGAAGTTTTATTTGACGTAACACATCCGATGATCTTGTACTTGATTCTTTTTCACGACCAAAACCAATCGCTATAACTTCACTACCAATTAATAAAACATCGGTTTTTAAAGGTAAACATATTGCATTGAATAACGCACCATTTAATGAATGTTCAAGTTGAAGAATTGCAAGATCATTATGCATCTTTTTAGCATTCCAATTTGGATGTAAATAAACTGTAGTAATAACTTGAATACGACTATCATTATTAGTTAAATTTGATTGCTGAGTAATACCAATTGCAACTGATAGACCCGTTATTGAAGGTATACAATGAGCAGCTGTTAGAATAAATGATGCAGAAATAATAACTCCACCACAAACATGATGACCCCATCGACGAATTGATACTATCCAAGGCCAACTTTGATGAACAGTTACTTGTTCACCACCTATAATACGAGCTGTTTTCATAAACATAGGAGAATTTGATGGACAACCACATTTTTGTATTATAAAGTTACATTTATATAGATTCTCGTAAGTCACGAATAAGTAAATAAAATTCAAGTTTACAATGATTAAAATAAATAACAAGAAAAATAAACTATAAATAGACATTGATTAGTAGAAACAAAAAGAAAATAACAAGTTAACTATGAATTGTCAGTATCATATAACGTTAGGCTTACTTTATATAAGAAACAGATGTTATTTTCATAGATTCATATATCTTTTAGTGAGTGCAAAAAATACAATCTTTATCATACAAAATAATTATATTCTAATCATTCTTCTAACGTAATAACGTTGATAATTGAGATTCTCACTCCAAACTATTTATTCTATAAAAAAACTAGTATTAGAAACGAAAATAGACGTAAAATCTTAATTATGAGTTATTATAGATGTGTCCTTTCATTTGTATCATATTCTTCTATGAAAAACTCCTTTATACAGGTTACTACTTTTTTTTAAAATATTTTTAGTTGCTAATTTGAATTTAAAATTGTTAATATGTATAATTTTAAGTATATCTATGCTTTGTATTTATTGTAGATGCAACGTTTCACTCATAAAAACTTTTCAGTTCTTCAAACTATGCTACGATTATCAAGTACAATTATTTATTGTTCACAATCAAGATATAATCTGTTGAAGGAAGATGACACTGATATATATAGTTGTATAGTTTTATTATTTATATCTTATTTCAAACATAACCTTCGACGAATATATTGCTAGTCGCTTTTTCTATCAAGCATAATGATTTTTCGACGACAATTTTTTATAATTAAGAAAGCACAGGACTTACAATATGTCATAAAATGTGCTGTATTGATAACTATCAAGTCATTTGTTTTTATATATTCAGAAAAAAAAATCGTTGAGTCATACATGGCCATTCTTTTTCTTTCCTTATGAAAACACACCTCATTTCATGAAAAATGAGTAGTACAAGATTCTTTTTTTTCTTCCTATGCTAGAAATTGTCAATGACGTACACACTGGGAATCTGCCAATCATCATCGAAAACAAAAAAACAATATTCACAACGAAATTTGTTCATTTTGTTACAAGACAATTCAAACATAATCTATCATTTTTACATTGGCTAACAGTTTTCTTTTAATAGTTATTTTTAATATTTTCAAGAATGAATCATTTTAACGAAAAAAACAAAGTATTGCTCAAACGACGTAGTTCTTCAGTTAGTCACTTATCGAAACATCATCGGTCAGATGTTTCATCATCACCCAATTTTAATCGAACAAATAACTCTTATCGTGAAACTATAACTGCTTTAAGTTTCTCTTCAAAACAATATGATTTCATACGTCCAAAATCAACATTAGTACAATTAAATCCGACTGTGGCTCAAACAAACATCGTAAAGATATCATCCGGTATGTAAATTTTATCTTATATTATTTCATATATATAATAAACAAGAAAAATCGTTCTAGATGTATCTAAACAAATTCCACCTCCAGTTGCGCCGAGAACAATATTTCCACTAGAGATAACACTAAAACCGGTGCCAATACCAATCGAAAGAAAATCTTTAAAAAAGAATAATAAAATTAATTCTACGGAAGAACAGGCAATAAAATTGACAGCAACAGATAAATCGGTTTTATCAGATGTTAACAATAGAAACGAAATAATACCAGATCAAAAAATCTTAGTAATGCAAATGAACAATCAATCTACATTATATACTCCTGGTCTATGTGGTTTGATCAATATTGGTAATATATGTTTTATGAATAGTGCTCTTCAATGTTTAAGTAATATACCTGATTTAACTCAATGGGCTCAATGTCAAAATTTTTAATCAACAATACAATATAACGATATTATTTATGTGTATACTTCGTTGATAAAAGCAATGTGGTCAGGTGAAAATAATTGTTTTAATCCTCAAGATATAAAACAAATAGTTAGTCATTCAGCTCCAATATTTACTGATTATGGTCAAAAAGATTTTCATGAATTTATGAATCCTCTTTTAAATGCTCTTGAGAAAACAAATTTCTAATCAATTATTACAGAACTTTTTCATATTCATACACAATCTCAAGTGACATGTTCAGAATGTAATTTTATCGATACTACAGATGAAATAACAACATTTCTTCCACTTCCATTACCTTTACAAACTTCAACTTAGAAGGAGATTTTACTTGAAGATTTAATAAATGATTATTGTTTAGAAAATAATATAGATGGATTATATTATTGTCATTCATGTACGAAATATACTCAAGCTAAACAAAAAACAAATATATGTTCGCCATTACCTCATGCTCTTATTATACAATTAAAACGATTTCCATTTGATGAAACTTTGAAAAAAATCGATACATTTGTTCGTTATAAATTTAAATATGAAAATTTAATATCAAATAATGATATATATATCAATTATGTGCTGTATCTTCTCATTGTGGAAGTTTAGCTAGTGGACATTATATAACTTTAGCTAGAAATAAATTTATGAAACAGTGGTATTCATTTAATGATACTCAAATAGATAAAATTAATTTGAATCAAGTTATTACTAATAATGCTTATGTACTTGTTTATTTGAAATCAGAAAAATTAGATGATACTTTATTATAATAAAATAAAATTCTTGTTTTTAATAATAAATAGAAACTTTTTGTTTATTTTCTTTTCAGATATATTCGATGAAGAGATTGAACGTCTAGAATTGTACCATTATTTTATTATATTTCATCTGGATAATTAATGATTATGGAGTCAATATGAATCGAATACCGCCTAATACTTATAACCGATCACAATCGATAGTATACGTTTCTTCTGAAATACAATATATTCCATTAAAACTATGCAAAGCAAAACGCAGTCGAAGTAGCTATATTATTCTATATCTATTACCGTCTGAAACTATTGAAAATCTGAAGAAAAAGATTGCATATCATTTACGTCTTGACTTGCCATTAAACAAGTTTCATTTGGAAATATTTGATGAAATTGGATATCAGTGGCAGACAATTGATGATTCGAATCCCTTCATTACTATAGGTCAATTAAAATTACGTTCGAACAGTATATTAAATGTTGAATATGCTAACCAAACAATATCAATTGATCAGCGTTCTTTGCATTCAACAGCAATTTCCAGTAATAATCATGAACTTTTATTACAACTATGTAAAAAACCTATGGATAGAACAGAATATCGATTTCTAACGATTTCATCGTTTTCAACTCTTAGCAAATTACGAAAGCAAGCATATCAATGCTTTAATAAATTATCAACAAATAAACCGATCTATGCATTAATTAATAATAATTGGACGAAATTTAATACTGATATGGATGATATTATATTACATGATTTACAATTTCCATCAAATGTATTCATTAGTACAGAACCAGATAATGATGAGTCTTATTCCACAGTTCCACGTGGTTTATGTGGAATAGAAAATTTAGGTAGTACATGTTTTATGAATAGTATTTTTCAATGTTTAAGTAATGTACCTGAATTTACAAAAAAAGTTTTAGAATTTACTGATGAAGTAAATGCACCTATTATTAACGAATATAGAAAATTAATGGAAAAAATATGGTCAGGAAAATATAAATCTATTGATCCATCTTTACTATTGGCTCATATCAAAGATAATTTACCACGTTATGAAAGTTATCGACAGCAAGATGCACAAGAATTTATGAGTCATTTTTTAAATCTTATTCATGCAGAATTTTCAACAAGAGAAACATTTATTACAGATTTATTCTATGGACAAATTCAATCGACTGTTAAATGTCTTAAATGTAATCATACAGAAATAACAAATGAATCGATAAGTTTCATACCATTACCTATTAGTAATTACAATCAAAAGACTATACTTTATGTTAAAGTTGATGGTGAATATCGTCGAGTTT